TGATGTGAACAACGCGTTTCTATACGCGCTAGTAGATGCAGTGATCTACGTAGAGCAGCTTCACACATACGGTGACGGGGACCCACGTGTCTGTCAGCTACGCAAGTCCCTGGATGGGATTAAACAGGCGCCGAGACTCTGCCTGCAGTACCTGCACAACATACTGCTTGAAATCGGATTCAAGCAGTTGCCTGACGACCCTGGGATGTATCGCCGCGATTTCCGCGGCGAATACATCCTACTCACGGTCTACGTCGACGATCTTCTCTACATAGGGTCGAGCAACGAATTGCTTGAGCAGTTTGAGAAGAGCCTTGCAGGGCGCGTCGACATCTCCTGCAATCATGACGTGAAGCGGTTTCTCGGGCTCAACATCACCTACTCGCCCGGAAGCCGTTCATCTCTCGGCAGTGAAGTATGCAGAGGAGCTAAGCAAGCGCTTCAATATTTCACCTGCACCACTCTCCACCCCTGCACTCCAGGACCCAACCACAAACCGGACAACAAAACCCTGTCCCTGCTAGACTTCACACCTACCAGCAGCAGTTGGGTTGCCTGCTCTTTGCATCTGTTACCTGCAGGCCCGACCTTTCCTACATCGCGAGCCAGTTGGCTCAGTACTCACGGAAACCAACGGCTGAGAACCTCTCAGATCTTCTGCGAGCCCTTCAATTCTTCATCTCCACTCCCAATGTTGGGCTCCACTACTCCACCATCCCAACCGCATCCTTTAGTCTCGTCGGCTACGTAGACGCAGATCATGCCGCTGATCCCGACAATCAACGGTCCAGGACAGGCTTCCTCTTTCGCCTCGAGCCCAGTGGCCCCATCTCCTGGAACTCGCAGAAGCAGGAGCTGGTTGCCCTGTCATCAGCAGAAGCCGAGTTCATCGCAGCAACAGCAGCCGTTCGCGAAGGCCTGCACCTTCAGGAGCTACTACAGGAGGCGAAAATCCCTGCCTCAGCGAACTTTCGTCTGCACTGCGACAACCAAAGCGCGATCAGAATCGCGAACAAACCCGGATTCGTCAACCGCACCAAACACATCGCACTGCGGTACTTCGTCTAGGACGAAGTTGACAAGGGCAAGGTTGATCTAACCTACTGCCCGACGGGTGACATGGCAGCAGACTTCCTCACGAAGAAACTGCCGCGTCAGCAGTACCAGCACTGCTCCGAACTCAGCGGGGTAGTCAAGCGGGTCAAGACCTGCTACGGCCAGGAGTGAAGGGGGGTGTTACGAATAGTAATTACTGAAATACTATTGGGCACTCCTCACTGCAGCAAACGCAGCATACAGTACCGAGACTGAAGAGGAAAGGGCGCAAGTGACGCGAAGGGTCACACGGTTACGAGAAGCATCTGGACCGTTGGGCAGATAGCGTCAGGCAGCAGCGGTGGTGAGGATTCTGCCCGAACGGTTTCGTAACCACCCAGAGTCGCACGGTTGGATTTCGATGCAATCAGGGAATGTACCCCTTAGAGTAGATGGCTAGCTAGGACGTTTCGAATTCCCCTGGACTCCTGTTTATATTCCTTGTACTGCATGTTTTTATTATCTCACCTCAAGCATTTATATTCACTCTGCTATTGAGGTCAAGGGCCCACCACCACAAATCAGAAGTGTGCGAACCTTCCCGAGGTGATCCCGGTCACGATCAACTTCTGATCGCAACAGTCAATTCTACTTACTCCGCGTTGTCATAACTTCCGCTTACATCACTGTTCGTCCCAGTTTTTCGACCATCCGTCTCATCGCCACTCCTAGTTGTTTGCCCATCCATTACTATTCGCTCCATCTCGCCCTTGCAAGTTGCCACACGCCTCGGCGGGTGCTCAGTGCTGCTGCATGTGTCTTTACCGAGAAGCATACCCAGCAGAATCGACTGAGACTAACCACTAAGGTTTACCCAGAGAGCCTACGCAATTTTACTCTCCAACTGCACAACAAAGGCTCAAAAACATGCTAACTCCCAAGCGCGTAGTGCTCGATGGCACACCATCAGCACCTGCCATGACACGATAGGTTGGGGCTACCAGTACCCTTTGTTGCAGCCAGGGATGGCGGTGCACATTCTTTACATGATGGTTATCACTAGGCTAGAGCAAGCTCCGATCCGCGGTTGCTGCTTTGGCATAGGATGTTATCACGCTTGAAATCCTCATGTACGTACCAAACCACACGCCCTCACCCCCCCCCCCCCCCCCCCCCCCCCACCACCACCACAATGCCTCCTCCCAGCAGGGATCGTACAATCAGACATTGTGCGCTCCCCACGTGTTCATCCCAAGCCATGTCTCTGCTGGGCTGGGTGCTTAGAAAGTGCTTGAGAACCTCAACCTCTGGAGTACGACACCTGAGAAAGCCACACAGGTCATGTTGACTAACTTGAAGGATTCTAGACCCCATACTCAGTGTTCTAGCTCCCTTTGATGGGCATGAAACGTCCTTGGTACCTTGTGCGATTCCCAACAGAGTTTCTGATAACCAGTGTGCAAGTCAATCATCCTGATTAGAAGGAATTCTACAAACGAGTATGGTCGTTATGTGATGGGTCCTCCCCATAACAAGGAATCCTAAAGCGGAGCCATTGAGTTGACATGGCATGCGCTATTCACATCACATCTTCGCTGCTGTGAGCCAACAGTATAACCTGCATTCGTATAACCCGCTGTGAGAGTCTCACAAGCGGGCACATTTCTGTATACGCTTCAAGAGGAACCCCTCACCCGAGTCCGCTTTCGCAAGCGGACAGCTTGGTGTCCTTTCCCCTATTTGCCTTACGCGGGCAGCTTGGTCAGCGTGGTACCCTTTTCCTCTATTTGCCTTACGCAGGTAGCTTGGTGCCCACGGGGAACTGCGGGTTGTCAACTCCATGCGCGACGAAATACGGTCCAACATACATCTCTGGATCCATCACCGTGCTCCACGTGGCCTTCGCCAGCCCCTGCTGCCCCAGGACCACGCTCGGGCCAGCCTTCGACATTTTCACGAGGCTTACTCCATTGAGCTGCGTCGGCAGCAGCTGGCCCTTTTTGACCGCCTGCAGCTGCGGCAGCGTGAGGCGCGTCGCGACGATCTGCACGGCCGTGAGGTTGTACGCCGCGTCGTTGGAAATCTTCTTTCCCTTGAAGCGCAGCGCCAGGCTGTCCGCCACCGCGTCGCTCAACAGCAGAATCGTGGCGCTCTGCAGCGCCGTCAGATTGTACTTGGAGTTCACTGTATCGGGGATGGGGAGGCGAGGAGGGGGAGTAGGGGGAGGGGAAGGAAGGATGCTCGGAAAAAGCTCAGGCAAATCTCGATTACTTCTTGAAAAAAAAGCTTTGAAACTCAAAATTGGGTGCTTTGGGTTCTTCCTGGCATTTTCTGACGGGACTCACGGGCGATGTTGATGGCCTTGTTGACTTGCGTCGAGTACTTGGCGTATTTGGGGTACTTCGCCGTGATCGCCGCCGACAGCTTCTTCAGCTCGGCGCGCAGCTGCGCCTTCGTCGGAGGCGGCGATGGCTTTGGCGCTGCTCCGCCCGCTGCTGGCTTCGGCGCTGTTCCGCTCGCCGCTGGCTTCGGCGCTGCTCCGCCCGCTGCTGGGGGAACGGGCGCGGGGGTTACTGCGCTGACGGATGACGCGGCGCAGATGACGGCGGCCAGCGCGGCTAAAACGACGGCGATGGCGACTGAACGAGCCATGGCTCCTATCGAATGGCGTCGAGCCTAGCAGTGGATGGAAAGGTCTAGGCAACGGGTAGAAGTACCGTTGATTCGGATCCCTCCTAGAGCGGCTCTATCGGTGGCTGGTTGGAAAGGCGGACGGATTGAGAACGATCGCTCTCGTGACAATTCTAGATGGTGCTGTACTCTCAGTCGCGGTTTTACGACGTCGAACGAAGTCGTCAGGAGACACGACAGATCTTGGTTGAAGTGAGAAGATTGAGTTGCTGAAGAGGACTGTGATGTGCACTTGGCTGGTTCGCATATGATATCACAAAGCTCAATATATGGAGCACAAATTGGCAAAGACGGCCCAAGCGACTGCTTTGCTTTCGTCGGTGGTATGTTTTTCGAACGATTCGGCAAGGTTGCGACCCGAGGATACAACCTCGCCACCAAAGGAGCATGCAAGTACTAGCCGTTTCAGCACGACTCAGCGGTGCATTACCATGATTCACCTGTAATTGTGCGCTCGGCACATTGACGGTTCCTTCCCTCTTGGAACTTTTTGTGGGTGGTTTAGCGGTAGGGACTGGCAGTGACTGGGTTTCCATTTTTTCGCGCCCCTCCATTTTTTCCTGGCGGTGCATTCAATTGCGCGTGGCTTTCGGTGTTCAGGGGAGTTGTGTCCGCCCGCGGTCTGGGTTCGCGTTGGACTGGATGTGGAAATTGGAAAAGTCAAGGGACGAGATGAGAGAGAACAGGCGAGGGGAGCCCAGCTGTGTCTTCGACGCGCCTTGCTTTTGTATAGCGCCACTTGCGGTGCGGGGAGATGACGAATTTTGGAAAATTGTGCGGCTCGACGACTCATGAAAGTTGTCTTCCCTAAAGGCTTTTTGATACACCCAGTAGCATTGTCGCGGAAAGCGATTATGTTCCAAGTAAATCAGCCAACAAATGAATGTTAATGAATGTAATTTCCATAGGTGCGAATGTCCAGTTCAAAAAGAGTGCTAATCTCATGTCGTGTGCATCATAGTACGTCAACAAACAATGCTGGAAGAAAGTAGTTATTGAGAAGGCTTTCATCCGAAGCATTGGGCTTCCAAGTAAGTGGGCCTACCACACACCCTTCACTTCCTAACGTTATCACTAGAGAGGATCGGGTAGGACCCCACCCGAGACCCCAAGGAGTTTCGCGACTCCCGACCCGAGTGCAGGTCTCTCCAGAGTCCCACCCGTCCTGCCCTTCTGTATCTGTCACGTCAACTCACAAGGCCAACAAAGGCCTCAAGAATCCCCTGGCCTCAAGGTCAACTGAACCTGTCGTTAGCATATATGCTTTCCCTTCACTAGCACACTGGCTTGGACGCCCAGCGCACAAGCGAAGGCCGTCCCATCTGCCCGCGAATCGCGCCGTCGGGGAAAGCCTCCGTCCGGATCACAATGTAGAAATTCCGCGGCGTCGCGTCGATCTTCTGAAACAAGCTGTAAAACGTCATCGTTGTCCCTGGAACGAGCTTGCGCGTCGCGTCCGTGATCCACGTGTCCATTTTCAACTCGTCGGGAGCGCCCCCAACAGTCCACGCGTTGGGCAGCTCCCAAATCGGCGTGCCGTTGCTGCCGCGGCGGCCGTCATAGAGCGTTTGGTTGGTGGGCGGCAGCGGGAGCGTGAGACCCTCAACATCGAAGTGAATCTTGATGTTCACCGTGCGGTTGCCCTGCCTGCTCGCATACACAAACGCAACGAATGCACGCATGTCAGTGACAAGTTCGGGGGATGGTGCCTGCTTCTTTCCAATCCCGTGCATTAGTGAGACGCGCACGATTCCACGAGTCGGAGGGAGCAGGAGGCGCGGAAGCTGCAACATCGCTTAGATTGAGACGACACTTACTGGTAGATTGTAGAGCGAAAGCTGCCGGTGGCGAGCGAATCTCCTCCCAAGCTCGCACTGAGCACCTTCTTGGAGCTGAGGCTGGACGTGAGCAGACCTGATAGGTCAGCAGGGCGCGCATGAGAGTGAAGAATGTTTGAGCTTGATTTTACTCTCACAACCACTCAATAACCGCTGAGGCTGGACGTGAGGTCGGACAGGGCAATCCGGACAAGGTGAACAGGAGAGACGAAAGATTGAAATGGGACACGAGGTGCAGGGACGATTGGGGATGCCGTCGAAGCAAGTATAACGAGACGGGATGTGACTAGAACGAAGGGTAGACTTTTTATTTATTGGGAGAGGTGCGGGCAAATGGAGTAGGTAAGGGAAGGTGAGGAAGAGCGAGAGGAGGGAAGGCACGTTCCACTCACATCTTCGGATGCCGGGAAACGGAATGCCGGTGATTTTGGGCATGGGCGGGAGACTGGGGGGTTTGGATTTCGGGGGGGCGGCGAAAGCGCATGATGCAGCGGCGGCGAGAAGAACGCAGGAAAGAAGAGCTGCTGCAGGGGACGAGGTAAGAAGGGCAGGGAAGCCAGGAAGGTAGGAATGGAATGAGTGAGAGGGATGGGAGGAATGGGAGACATGGCAGGATGCGGTACAGGATAAACGACCATCAGCTTATGGTTCTGTACATTACGCTTTAACCTGCTTAAAAGGGTAACTATTGTTACTAAAGACATCCCGTATTTCTAGACTTGGCAGACAGCAAAGTGATGCTGTGATGTGATGCTGGATGCTATCGGCAAACCAGAGAAAACAGTGGCTTAGCTGAGTCAGGAAGAAATCGTAGGTACTAGTAGGTACTTTTCTTGATAGAGCGCACCTGTTGCGGATGAGCGGTTTACGCGAGCCATGGTGGTGGGTTCAATATATTGGGCTTCGAAGCTTCTGGCTTGGAAGGGGCGCGCGTCTGGATCAAACTGGCAGTCACACGACTCTAGTGGTTATACGGAAAATAATTTTAAGGATGGTGTTAATCGGGAATCTCTTTGGCGGCTTGCCAACGCTTTCTATCTCGTGTCGGCCACCGGCGAGGGCCATTTTCCGAAATAGCAGCCGACGCTGCAGATACAGGGCGACAGTCATGGGGTGTGGTGTGGAACCACATTGTTCCGCGTTGTTCGATGTTGCACTGCGAAAGAGCCGTTGTTGCGAGTGATTCACCGCCGCCCACACCACGCAACGAAGGCCCAAGCTTGGGGGTGTTGGTTGGAGGATGTTGGTTGGAGGATTGAAGGTTCGCTTGGACTGATTGGTGGGGGGCTAGCTTTGGGATGGAAATGAGGCTGGTTGGAGTCAGGCGGGCCAACAACCACAATCAGCGCCCTGCAAAATCGAATTGTCTGTCGGTCGCCCCGCCAAACGCGAAAATTGCAAGAATGTCGAATTTGGCGAAGCGAACGAAGCGCGGCATAAACTCCCCCGCATTCCACGCAGGCGTCCCAACGCAACAACCCCTCCATCAGGGTTCATTTCCTTCCGCATGCACAATGAAAGTGCATGAGATTTTCTTCCCTAATATACGAAACTCTCAGTTTTATATTCAGAGACTGCACTTTTGAAGGACTTCCCAGTTTCACAAGCATGTTGGCATACATACATAGGTTTCATATTACACTTCAGAACGCTACAATGAGCACAGAGGGAGTGCTCAATCATAGCACAGCACATACAAAATAAAGCCCTAGAACCAGCAACATAGTAAGAAACAGCAGCAAACGGCAGGCACAGAGGCAAGAGTAGCCCCCACCCTGCCCTACTCTTGACCCTGTGCTCAGCTTCAACCCCCCAGCTCCAAATTCCATACAAGAAAATAACCCACACCACCCATCTTCTACAAGCTTGATTGCCTTGCCATGCATTACTCCATGCACCCTCCTCACCCAAGATCAAAATCGGGGCTGTTGCATGTTTGAGATATTATCTTCCCACCTTTAAGCACGTATTTTACATAACAAGTGGTTCTGACCTGCAGGTGTTGAAACAGATAATAAGGTAAAGCAGGTGTTGGGGTGGGGAGTGGCGGGGAGGGAAGGGGGTAATCAAGGGTGCAGCAGAGGTGTGCAAAGAAACCCGAGGAGAAGGGCAGTGGGAACAAGACTCTTCTGCTAGATATGCGTGAGATGTGAAATTTGAGAGCAACGCATGGTGGTGCTAAGAGTTGAAATCCAGGTAAGGCAGGCTTCCTGTGAGTAGCTGGCAAATGCAAATGGCAGTCGATTCTGAAAATTGTACCTACCTCATCAATATTCACATGAAATGCTACATGCAAACAGGATCCGCAAAGATACCAGGCGAATGTGAGAGCAAGGGTACCTACCTGTCACCTGAGCATCATGGGAACAAGCGCACCTGCAATGTGTGGAACCCCAACTCACCTGCATCACAGGACTTTTGATTCCAAAGCCGGTGAATCTCCCAAACCCTTGGATGTCAATCTGGAATGTGCCATGGCCATGGCAAAGGAGAGTAGAGGATGACACAAGGAGAATAAAATCTTGCAGTTGCAACAACAAGGGCTGATGGCAAAACAGGAGAACGTAAGGGACTCACGACATAGGCAGGGAATTGACAGCAGTGCAATTGCAATGGAGAATTAACACCCGCTTTTTACCGACAGCATTCATTGCAGATAGTGTAAGCAGTGCAGTATTAGGAAGGGAAGTGCATGAAAAAACGGAACAAGTGCAGTATAAAGCAAGGTGGAAGCACGTTTCCTCTCACAACACTCACCTTCGTTGCAAGCACATCCCCCTTCTGGTATATGCGCCATCCTTTCTTCATAGGGATATTCACCAGGTTGAAGGGTGCTTTTACCGTGGATGACTTTAACGGGTACACGTTCATGGGGGGGAGCTGAGGGCATGGCGCAAGGGGAAAAGGAAGTGGGGAACAAAGTCAGGCACTGTTACAAAATAGAATAGAAGGGGGTGAATGAGGACCTCACGCATATCCGCTACATCAAGGCACAAGCGCGTCTGTCACCTTGAAGCTGCTGAGGAAAGTGTGCCAGAATTGCACACCTGTGCATGGCGATTCACCTTGGAGTTGCCGAGAAACGTGTTGTTGTACTCCGCGTGCACGTATATAGCGTTGATCTTGAGCCCATAAGCGTTGGGGTTGTAGATGAGCGCGTTGAACGTCAGCACGCCTGTGAGGAACACGTCGAAGCCATTCAGCGGGTCGCCGCCCAGCCGCGCGTGCTTCACGGTCCAGTCCATGGTATCGATCTTCAGCTCCGGCTGCTGCTAGACGCGGAGGTTGGGGGGGAGGTGGGGAGGGGGGGTTTGTGGGGGGGTGGGGTGGGGGGGGGGGGGGGGGGGGGGGGGTAGACGGGTCAACGTGAGCGCTTCACGGTTCAGTCCATGGTGTCGATCTTCAGCTCCGTACTTGACCACCCAATCCATGGCGTCGATCTTCAGCTCCGGTTGCTGCAAGGCGGGGGGTGGGGTGGGGTCGGGTGAGGGGGGGTTGAGGCAGTTAAGCGAGAGCTTGAGTTGAAGGAGCGCGCGTGCTTGACCACCCAATCCATGGCGTCGATCTTCAGCTCCGGCTGCTGCGGAGGGGAAGCAGGAGTTGGGAGTGGAGGAGGGAAGAAGTAAGAGCATGCATATTCTGTCGCAAGTGTGATTGCTTGTTGAAAGAGACGGACCACTCTGCTTTGGCTATCGCGAGTGAGGGAGTGGAGGAGAAGCGGGCGGGGAGGGTGGGGGAGAGAAAGGGCGCGGCGGGGGGGGGGGGGGGGGGGGGGGGGGGGGAGGCGGGGAGAGGGTACGAGGTCGGAAGGATAAGCAAAGAACTGGAGAGGTGTTCAAGGCACGGGTGCCGTGTGCAGGGGGGAGCACCTTGTACGTGAACGGGCTGCTGGTTTTGCGCTGCGCAGACGCCAGAACCCTCTTCGTCCACAGCACCCGTGCCGCGCCATCCCTGCCACGTCATGTCACATCAGAGTAAAGAGGACGTTACGGACGGAACCCGGAACAATTCACGTTTCTCCGTACGGACAGGCGATGCGAGACGGCGGAAGGGGACGATTGCTGACGAAAGGTCGCAACATAACAAACCCTCCCCCTCCCCTTCCCCCCTCTCCCCCAACGAATCATGAGTCCAGTCGTCAGCATCTCGTCCAAACCTCACCCGAACGTCGTTGGTCTCCGCAGTTGTCGCGACGTTTGTACAGTTCCAGCCGTAGCTGTAGCCGCAACCGTAGTCGTCGGCTTAGCCGTAACGGATATACTACTAGATGGACCGTGAGCCGATCTAAGACTCGAAGGAGCCGCTGCAGCCTGGCTTTTAAAGACTTGGTTCCTAATGACGTGGCTGCCTGTAGCGCCCTGGACTACTGGGTTCACCGGAGCAGCGAAGGCAAGAAGCAGGAGGATCGAGAGAACTGTAGCTATTAGGGATAGCGATGCGCCGATCCCGGGGGAGGAACCTGCCATACGGAGCGGAGATTATAAGGTCTCCCCTAACTCGTCGCCGCTCAGAGCAGGCGAGGAGCCAATAGGAAGGAAAAGCGGATAATTCCTAGTTGTGCAGCTGAAGAAGGAAAAGCTGTGTACAAGATCCCAGCTAGAGGAAAAGCGGATAATTCCTGTGTACAAGATCCCAGCTAGAGATTTCCTTACGGTGAATAGTGAATAGAAGCGACGGTGCTACCATCTAGCCTTGGTCTACTGGTTGAGACATTCTTATTGAGCGACGGTTGAGCGACTAGTGTGATCGGTTGTGAATTGACGGAGGGTGAATTGGCGGAGCGAAGATCGAGCGACGAGATGAAGATGAGTGCTGCCTGCCACTAATGGGACGAGGGAGCGCTGCATATATTTACGCGTTCGAATCGCTTCGTTTAGAGTCACAGGTACTAAAGCCGAAACAGGGTTCCTAACGAAGGGGGTGCTGGTGAACTGACAACAGGCTCGCCTCGTCGCCACGTGTATCGCGTGCCTGCGTTTCAGTCACCAGCAGCGGCGACGACTGTCTACATTAGAGACGACAAACAAGAGGATGCTTTCATTGACAATTTGCATCACGGAGACGTTGGTTGGGAGATAGGAAGATTAACTAGGTATGTGGACCTGAAATCACGAATAAATGCATTTCGTGGAGATATGTAGGAGGTGCTAACTGATATGACTGCTAGCTTTCGTACAACGACTCGTCAACTCGGCGTTCAGGAGGGAGAGAAAAAAAGCGGTGAAGTACGATTTAGCCGAGTAATTCACGGTATTCTGGTGTGATGCATTTTGCCGTCATGTTTCCTCTTGAATCTTGGGCCCTCGAAATTGGTTCCCCTTTTTCCAGAGCAGCATCCGTCCGTCCGTTCGTCCATGTCCCTGCTCCAAGGCAGGCGCGGAACAGTGTGTGGTACATATCGAATTTCGCGTCGCTCTTTGCATGCTTGGCAGAAAGGGTGCGCGGTTCGGTTTTGCCCGTCGCTGCGTGTCATTTCTAGAGACGCAACGCAACGGCCTCGAAGTCGAGTCCCCTCGTTAGAAGCGGTGCAATGATTACGTCACCCCATCAACCTCCTTCGTTACAAGCATGCGTTTATCCACTTCGAGTTTTAATCTCGTTTGAAGGTAGCCTGCTACACATTTTACCAGTTATATTATTCAATGAGGGTGTCTCGAATTCTGTATCAATGATTGGGAAATCTCTGCGCCCCTTCAAACAGAGGGCATCTGAGAGAAATGACTGCGGAACCTTGCGTTAAATATAGCCATAAGTTGCAATTACTGCTTCACAAAATCCTGCTACTCCCTTTTCTTGTGTACCCCTGATTCCTCTACAGACGGAGCGCCAGAGCAGGGAGACGAGAGAGATGCATGGTTGGCAGGTGGGGGATCGGAAGCAGAAGAGGGTGATGCTGGCAGTGCGGAGAGAAGGGATTGAGGAGGAGAGGAGGTGTGGGAGTGAGGAGAGGAGGGGTGGGGGTGCAGCCCTTTAACAAGGTGCGAGAGGGAGACCACCTGATAGCCCTGCCGTCTCAGCTCTGGCAGCATCATCCGCAGAATCTGCAAAGAAACGGGGAAAAGGAAGGACGCCTCAAAGTTTATATCACTTAATGTGCAACAAAAGCAGACACGAGCCACAAAAAGCAGTAACAAGAGGCCTGTGCACTTCACCTCTCAAATTTGAAAGACTAGAAGCAGAAGGCCTGCGGTCTGAGCACGGTGCACCTCCAAAGTTTGAAAAACCATGAGTTTATAAGAATTCTCAAAAACACTGTGCACAGTGCACCTCCAAAGTTTGAAAAACCAGAAGCAGAAGACCTGTGGCCTCACCTCAACGGTTTGTGTGCCCTGCTGGGGACGATCATGCAGGATAATAATAGCACCTGGGTACACCTGCGTGCAGACACGTGGAAGGGAAGGCAAGGGAAGTGAATTGAAGGGGTGCCTTGCTGTGGGCGGCCGTGCAGAATGATGTTGGCCCCAAGGGGAGAGATGAAACGATGGGGATGGTGGGGATGATGGGTCCATGAAAAACGCAGAGCAGAAAACCGCATCTCCAAAAGGCCCCCAACCCATAGCAGTACCATCCACAAGCAGTAACGAGAAACAGTGAGGCTGCTGTCGTTGAAAGGAAGTCCACAGGGAACACGGAGCGCAGAGTTACAGATAGATAGCTGCAACCTTGCTTTTCCACTGCACTCTACAGGCGCAGTCAGTACCATCCAGAGACAGTAGGCAGCAAGAGGGCGGCTGCTGTCCTTGAAGAGAGGGTCCACGGGGAACACAGAGCCCAGGGCCACATTGTACCCGTGCCTGCTAACCCCCCCCCCCCGATGCACCCAGTAAACATACCTTCCATAAACAGTAGGCAGCGAGAGGGCGGCTGCTGTCCTTGAAAAGCGGGTCCACGGGGAACACAGAGCCCAGAGCCACGTTGTACCCGTGCCGCTGTGCCTGCTGCCGCATTCGCTTGGTGTACCACCCATGGCCCTGGAGGTGGGGTAGGGAGAGAGAGGAGGAGGGTTGACAGAGTTGCCCCCTCAATCTCTTCGAAAGTAGCGGAGGAGCTTGGCGTCCAATTTTGAGATGTCTCGAAATTCGTCCACTGCCAGCAGAGACGACTCAAACAAGAAGGCGCCTAGCAGGGAAAAGCTGACAGCGAAACTAATCGGGCGGAACCATGTGACTGGGTTGCCTCCGGAGTCTGTACGGAAGTAGTGGAGCATCTTGGCATCCACACTAGGCTCAAAGCACACTGACCCACCGGTCAGAACCACTTGACTGGGCTGCCTCCCTGTGTTACTCTAGAGGTAGTGGAGGAGCTTGGCATCCAGTGCCAGGAGCGACGACTCAAACAGGAAGGCATGCAATCCACACAAACCCACCTGTCTACTTAACCATGTGACCTACCGGTCCGAACCACTTGACAGGTTTTCCCGCAGCGTCTCGTCGGAAGTAGTGGTGAAGCTTGGCATCCACTTCCAGTAGTGACGATTCAAAGAGGATGTAAACACCAAGACAAGGCAAGGTTGACTGCCAGACTGACCGGTCGGAACCACTTGACAGGGTTGCCTCCGGCGTCTCGTCGGAAGTAGTGGAGGAGCTTGGCGTCCACTTCCAGCAGCGACGACTCAAACTCCCCGGCTGACAGGCGCCAGCTGGGCTCGTCTGCTGTCATGTGGTTGCCCACCTCGTGGCCTGGTGGGGAAGAAGTAAGGAGATGGAGAGGCATAGGGAAACAGATGAGCAGAGGTAGGGAGTGCAGACAGACGCCAGGTGGGTTCGTCCTCTGTCATGTGGTTGCCCACCTCGTGGCCTGGTGGGGAAGAAGTAAGGAGATGGAGAGGCATAGGGAAACAGATGAGCAGAGGTAGGGAGTGCAGACAGACGCCAGGTGGGTTCGTCCTCTGTCATGTGGTTGCCCACCTCGTGGCCTGGTGGGGAAGAAGTAAGGAGATGGAGAGGCGCAGGGAAACAGATGGCAGGATGAACGTGGTCGAGGATGCGAACGAACAACTCAACACCCATCATTCAACACTTGCAAGCGGACAGGCGCCATCTGGCTGGGTGTGTTGTCCGTCATGTGGGTGCCCACCACGTGGCCTGGTGGGGAGAGGGGGAGCCAGCTGGGTCCAATAATAAGGTGACCTTGTTTTAATAACGCCACACAACGGCACATTACCTTGAGCGTGCATACAACCCACTATGCCCGGGTACCTGCCCAGGACTCCAGTCACATGGCGGCACCTTACCTTCAGCATGCATGCGATCGACGATGCCGGGGTATCGGTCAATGTTGGATCCAATCAGGTGATCTCTGAGTCGACTGTACAGCCTCCTCGTTCCAGTAGTGCATGGCATGGCACATTACCTACCTTCAGCGTGCATGCGATCCACAATGCTGGGGAATCGATCAATGTTGGATCCAATCACGAAGAACGTGGCTGTGCACCCGTGTTCCTTGAGAATATCCAGCAGCTGAGAGAATCCGTGGCATGAGCGGTCGGGGGAGAAAGGGATTGTGAGGATATGATCAAGAACGATGCGGTCCTGCAGTGCACCCGAGGTCCCTTGACCTATACAACTACCGAAAAATTTTGGTGTTTTTTTTTTTTTTTTTTTGGTATACGTATGCAGAACACGAAATACTTCTATTGTTTGTTATTGAGGTTCTTTCACAAGAAGCTCCAGACGAATTCTGAAAAGTTTCAAGATGGGCGCGCCAAGTATTGCAATGTGTTGTCATTCTAGTTGAGTAAAAATCGTACCTCGTGGGTCGTGTCTCCGTTCGGCCCATCATCGATCGTCAGAGCAACCAGGCGATCTGATTGGTCAACAGGATAGGGAGGGATCAGGAGGATGGGTGGATGGGTGGATGGAGTGATGGGGGGATGGGGTGCATCATGCATGGTAGTGGATGACAGGGAAGGTGAGCGAGAGGGAAGGAGGTTGAGAGAAGGTGGGTGAGAGGGAAGGAGGTTGAGAGAAGGTGGGTGAGAGGGAAGGAGGTTGAGAGAAGGTGGGTGAGAGGGAAGGAGGTTGAGAGAAGGTGGGTGAGAGGGAAGGAGGTTGAGAGAAGGTGGGTGAGAGGGAAGGAGGTTGAGAGAAGGTGGGTGAGAGGGAAGGAGGTTGAGAGAAGGTGGGTGAGAGGGAAGGAGGTTGAGAGAAGGTGGGTGAGAGGGAAGGAGGTTGAGAGAAGGTGGGTGAGAGGGAAGGAGGTTGAGAGAAGGTGGGTGAGAGGGAAGGAGGTTGAGAGAAGGTGGGTGAGAGGGAAGGAGGTTGAGAGAAGGTGGGTGAGAGGGAAGGTTGGAACTTGGATGTGAGAGTGAGGGTGGAAAAACCTCTCAAACCAACCTCTCGTAACGCATGCCGTTGAGTGATGTGTACCCTTGATGACAAGTACTCCCGGTCACGTGTGCCCTCGGTGAAGTGTACCTTTGGTGACGTGTACCTTTGGTGACGTGTACCTTTGGTGACGTGTACCTTTGGTGACGTGTACCTTTGGTGACGTGAACCTTTGGTGACGTGTACCTTTAGTGACCTGTGCCTTTGGTGACGTGTACCTTTGGTGAATTGAACCTTGTGTCTGTACCTTTGGTGACGTGTACCTTTGGTGACGTGTTCGAACAGAATGTGCGGCTGGTTCTGCCGCACCCAGGTGATGATCCACCTTGGCTGAAACAGCACCCTGCACCCCACGCCACGCACACAGGCCGTGGAAGATTGCACAGGGACAGTTTTGAGAAATACCTTTTGAGTTTTTCAACAGTGACTCAGATATAGCCGTGGCTGGAACAGCACCCTGCATCCGGCGCACACGGGTCGTGGAAAATTGCACAGGGACAGGAGAGTTCGGTAAAGCATCCCATCCCTGTGCCATCCCAACGCCATGCCATCCCACTTGATGCCATGACATTCCATGACAGGTAATCCCGATAATTGGTTAAACCTACATGCATGAGAGCAACGTGACGAGTAACTACTACTCTCGCCTCCCTTGTTTCACTTCCAACAAGCAACCTTCAAGCTCACCCCACAGCGAGGAACAGCACGAAGCCCAGCCCAAGCGCGCCTGCAGCGGCGGTGGCGGCGAGGAGGGCGCTAGCAGGCGTCACCCCCACCAGCGACGGCACCAGCACCTCCCACTCCACAAGTAGGGTTACCACACATGTGCAGTGCCCCTACAAACTCACCCTACGGCGATGAACAGCGCAAAGCCCAGTCCCAACGCGCCTGCAGCGGCAGTGGCGGCGAGGAGGGCGCTAGCGGGCGTGACCCCCACCAGCGACGGCACCACCACCTCCCACTCAACAAGTAGGGTTACCACACATGCGCCCCTACAAACTCACCCTACGGCGATGAACAGCGCGAAGCCCAGCCCAAGCGCGCCTGCAGCGGCGGTGGCGGCAATGAGGGCGCTAGCGGGCGTCACCCCCACCAGCGACGGCACCAGCACCTCCCACTCCACGCCGCTGCCGCTCATTGCCGACGCTGTAGCGAGCGGAGGAGCCTGGGTGACTGTAGTGAAAGGTATGGATGATACTGTGCCGAGGGGTATGGCCGAGGCTGTAGAGAGTGGATTTGGAAACGCTGTGGCGTAAGCAGGGATAATTTCCTGGGGAGACGCTGCGGGAGCGGCGAGCGCGGGTGAGGAGCAGACGACCAGAGCGAACGCTGCTGCTGCAGCGACAGCGGCGGCGGCAGTGGCGGCAGATGCACTGGTAGGGGCGACGGTAGTGGCGGCAGTGGCGGGGACGAATGGAATTGCGGGAGACGCGGATAGTGGTGCTGCTGAGCCAATCGCACCAGGAGGCGTTGCGACAGGGCGTGCTGGGGACGAGAATCTGGCGACGAATCGAGCGACGGATGCGACAGGAATAATTGCAGACTCTGCAGCAAATGAGCGGCAGAAATCGTCGCAGGCTTTGTAAAATTGAGCGGAGGGATCGGCAGGAGAGAATTCGCAGGGTGGGAAGAACTTTGGGAGGGGCAATGGCAAGGGCGGACTAGTCTTGATTATGGCGGGAGTGGGTTGCGAAGGCGAGCGAGCAGCGAAAGGGCGTCGGTTCACGCGAAGGGCTGCAGCGCAGGCGATAGACGGTGGGCGACAACGATGGTCTGCGAGTGCGACGGGTGCGACTGGCCGTGCGACGACACCGGCTGCTCGCATGAGGCCAGCGGCACGCACGCGTCGTGGAGAGCAAATGAACCACACAGCCGCGCAGGGGGTATCAGCCAGCAGCCATCCATCAGCCATCGGCCATCAGCAGAGCCCCAGCCTTTCTGATTTGACGGAATATGCCTTGCCAACCAATCAACGGAGGACAGGTTGAGAGCTATCGGTCGAGAAGGGTGAGCTTGGGTTGGGGGACGAATTTGAGGGGGAGGGGGTGGAGTGGTTGGGTTGGGGGTGCTGGCGGTGACGAAATGCTGACGAGAGGTATGGTGGCTGTGATGAAGCATGAGGCACAGCGGACAACGCGCCTTCGCTATTCTGCGAAGTAACATTGGTGTCAGCTGGGAGTTCATAATGTTACAACGTAGCCAATAAACCGCCAAGCCACCTACAAGTACGCAACCTTGGCCTTACCACTTCACATCCATGCAGGCAGGTTCCAGCCAACCATAATCTGCAATGCACCTGCTTGGTGTCAGTAAGAACAAAGCATGGCATTATGAAAAAAAGGTACCTTGATGTTTCTACCTAGTTCCTGGACAGCGTTTATGCCGCCACTGGTTTCTAGCTGAGTTTGGCATGTGCCTCATGCAACTTCTCCAGGAGCACTTCACTCATCTTACTGCAACCCACCACCTCCTGCAAGTGAAAACACGCGAAGGACAGTGAGCGGCAACGTTGGACATGGGCAGTGATGCTCAGCTAAGAAAAAAACCTAACAGATGAAACTTCAACAAAAAATAAGCAGTTGAAATACAAAAAAAAAGGGATACACACACTTCAAGGAAGTTGTGAAAAAATAAGGTTACTGAAACTTACCATGCCGGGGGAAGCAATGTCACCAGTCCTGTATCCTGCCTCCAGGGTACTCATGACAGCAGCCTCCAATAGGTCAGCACCACGTGGCAGGTTGAGCCCGTATCGCAGCATCATGGCGGCTGAGAGCACCTGAGCCATCGGGTTCGCCTTGTCCTGCCCCGCAATGTCCGGTGCCGAACCATGCACTGGCTCATAGATGCCCGGGCCCTGGGGGGTGGTGGAAGAGTGGGGAGAGGGGGGTCTATTTACATGGTGCCTCAGAAAAAGGTTTGCCTTGTCTTGCCCTGCAATGTCCGGGGAAGACCCATGCACTGGCTCATAGATGCCCGGGCCCTGGGGGGTGGTGGAAGAGTGGGGAGAGGGGGGTCTATTTACATGGTGCCTCAGAAAAAGGTTTGCCTTGTCTTGCCCTGCAATGTCCGGGGAAGACCCATGCACTGGCTCATAGATGCCCGGGCCCTGGGGGGTGGTGGAAGAGTGGGGAGAGGGGGGTCTATTTACATGGTGCCTCAGAAAAAGGTTTGCCTTGTCTTGCCCTGCAATGTCCGGGGAAGACCCATGCACTGGCTCATAGATGCCCGGGCCCTGGGGGGCGGTCGAAGAGTGGGGAGTGAGGAGTGAAGGAGTCCCATTGCAAGTAAGTACCGTGCCATGATGTTCTGTCATGCCAGCAAACCCCCTCCCTCTTCGCCCCTCCTCCCCCCTCCTTCTCCGCTCAGCTGACTCACATCAGAGCCAATGCTGGCGGAGGGCAGCATACCGATCGACCCAGTGAGCATGGACGCCTCATCCGAGAGGATATCCCCAAAGATGTTCCCCGATCTTCGCCCCTCCTCCAAGTTTTCCCCTCCTCCAACCCCTTTCACTCTCCTCTCCCCTAAGGACACTCACGTCAGAGCCAATGCTGGCGGAGGGCAGCATGCCAATGGAGCCAGTGAGCATGGACGCCTCGTCGGAGAGGATATCCCCAAAGATGTTGCCGGTGACGATGGTGTCAAACTGGCGCGGGTTGCGGATGAGCTGCATGGCAGCGTTGTCCACATACATGTGCGACAGCTCCACATCCGGGTACTCCTCCGCCCCAATGGCCGTCACGCGCTCGCGCCACAGCTGCGACACCTCCAGCACGTTCGACTTCTCCACGGAGCACAGCCGCCCGCTGCGCTTGCGCGCCGCCTCAAAGCCCACTCGGGCGATGCGGTCAATCTGGCAGGCAAGAGGGGGGGAGCACGGGGGGGAATTGGCGGAAGGGGGTGGGGGAAGGGGGAAGGGGGAAGGGGAAGGAGAGGGGAGGGGGAACGGAGAAGGGGAAGGGGAGGGAAAGGAATGGGTGGGAGTCATCTCAAGGTCTTGGAGTGAGCTTTACGTCCGGGTACTCCTCCGCCCCAATGGCCGTCACGCGCTCGCGCCACAGCTGCGACACCTCCAGCACGTTCCACTTCTCCACGGAGCACAGCCGCCCGCTGCGCTTGCGCGCCGCCTCAAAGCCCACTCGGGCGATGTGGTAGATCTGGGCGGAGAGGGAAAACCAGAAGCGAGAGGGGGAAAAGTGTGCACGGGAGACAATTCAGGTGTCCTTGAAGCCCAACTAGCCAATGCAGTAGATTCCAACAAATTTGTTCAGATGGTTAAGGTATGGGGGAGGAAGGGGAAAGGGGTATGGTGTGGAGTGAATGGAAGTGGAATGAATGGAAGAGTAAGACGGGTGCGTGCGTGGAGGAACGGGCTGGGGAGAAACTGGGACAGGTGGGAGGACAGGGTGTGGGGGGGGGACCTGAAGTCGTATCTTCACGGAACGTACCTCAGGGGCGGAGTAGATCATGGTGTTGAAGCCTGTCCTGTTGCCCTCTGCATCCAGTCCGAAGCCCTTGGGCTCTCCGAAGTAGATTCCTGCAGCATGTTACGAGCAACACGCAAAGACGTGAAGGGAACGGGGGGGGAGGGTGGGGGAGGGGAAACATTAGTTTCAGAAAATGAAACTCAAGCTCCACATATCGATGACTGCCTTACAGGCTCGCCTAGGATGATCGGCTTTCAATTCTGCTGCTCCTATAATCTCAGGCAAGATTGTTGTCCTCACATCCCCTTTGTTTGCTTCTCTTCCAAATCCTCGCCTTCAATCTCCTTCCATTTCCTTCGCCCCACCTCTATTTCATTCACCTCGTTTTCACTTCATTTGCCCCACACCACGTCAGTTCGCGCACCACCTCGACTCACCGCCCGTAAGTTCGCGCACCACCATGATGTCAACGCCCTCCACCACCTCGCGCTTCAACGACGACGCCTCGATCAGCTGTGTGGGGCGTGGAGAAGAGATGGCGGGAAAGTGGACGGGGTATGTGAACCAGGGGGGCGGATGCATGGGAACCAGGGGGATGGGGGATTTTAGGCTGCTTGGCATGCCATGATCCAGGAGAGCAGAGGGTGATTAAGAAAGACCCAGCCGATACACGTAGAGGTCTCGTCCACGTATTAACGAATCCATCATGATTCAAGCGCGCAACCCGAGCACCGTCTCATGACTAGGCCATTTTGCCCGTTTTTAGAATAAAGTGAGTATACAGTGAGTAAACCAGCTCAACATGCGCGCTGGAGCAATTCGTGCAACGCAACTGGCACAGACACCGCAACCACTCTGTTACTAAATGCAGCCGCACCTGGGTGACGACGGCGGCGACTCGACAGGTAACCCAACTGTGCGCGCTAGCGCAAAGCGTGCGACGCGACTAGCCCCGAAAAACTTCCAGTCTGTTCGACTTCTAAGGCGCCTCGAAGTGCAACTGTCCCGTAACCAATACCGCTAACGGTGTGTTCGGGAATGTCGCCGCACCTGGGGGAAGACGGTGGCGGGGCGCAGGTTAGCGAAAGCGCCGAGCCCCGCGCGCAGACCCAGCAGCCCGCGCTCAGGGCGGAGATCTGCGGGCAGGGTGTCCCACTTGTACCTGCGCAACGGGTGTGGGTAATGGGGGCAATGTGGGGGATATCAAGGACTTGGAAGGTAGTAGTGGTATTCTAACTGAAAAAGGAGGCGTGCACCAGTCCGGAGAGTGAGCATAGCAGAGCGAAAGCAAGCAACGCTTTTTTCATGGTCTTGTGTTACTGCATTGAAGAAATTTCTACCTCTACAAACAAACGGTTGGCGACTCCCACTCACCCTCCAATGGCAGCGAGCAGAACGGCATCGCTGTCGCGGCACGTGGCGAGGGTTGATTCGGGCAGAGGCACGCCGAATTCGTCGATCGCCGCACCTCCGACCAGCGCCTCCTGGAACTCAAAAGTGATGCCTTCCAGTTCGCCGAGAGCCTTGAGCAGCTTCACAGCCACTGCCATGATCTCAGGGCCGATTCCGTCGCCCGGCAGCAGCGTGATGCGACACTTCTTCGTCGCACCGTCGCCCGCCGCCGCCATCACTGGCTGTCTTCTGCGACTGCTGCTCCCATTCGCACAGGTCCTGCGACGGTTAGAGACAGACTTGCGGCTGAGGGGGAACGCAGAGAGACCGTTGGGCTTCACGGACTTGGCGAAAGCCTTCAGAGAGGACGACTCTCCCTCTGCAGGGGAGAGTTGCGCGGCGGTGAAATGCGCGCAGACCAACGAGCGAGCAGTCGCAGTCGCCATGAAGGAAAGGTCACAGCGATGCAGCAGATCACTCTGGTCAACGAAGTTGATGGCAGGGGAATGCACTAAGAGAAACCCTCAGCCCTGGGAAATTCAGCTCAAGGCAAAATGGGGGGTGGAGGGAGTTCAGATGCAAAAGGCGAAGTGCATTAGTGGAGTGTGCAAAATCTGACCAGCACGGCACACTTCGGAGGGACGACGTTGACGTGACAATGTGCCAGCGTTGCGGGGGCCAGTAACAGCCATGCTTTGGTGAGATGTTGCTTGGTGGAACCACGTCAGCCAGTGTAGAATTTAGACTAATGCTACACTTTAAAATCATAAGGCTTTGGTAAGCTAAGCCTCATCCACTTCAAATTCCTCCTCCTGTGGAGCAACAAAAAACTCTACAAATGATGTCCTTGCACTCCTATTCTGCTGAGTTTGGCTCCTTGCCCCATCCTGAGTTGGCTGAGAAAAGGCAGGAAGACTGCCCACACCAAATGCATCTGGAGCATCATTAGCATTTCTTCCACCAGGCCCAGTGGCTCGCATGTTCACAACATGCTGCACTCTCAAGACGCCATGATGGTCAATTGTCAGTTTACTCGCATGGTTTTCCTTCAGGACAGCAGCAGGGATGCTAGCAGTTGCTGCACTGAGATGCTTGTAGCGATACCTGCACAACGAAGCATGGGAGGTTCAACTATGGCTAATATTGAAAGGAAAAATCCAGAAAATAAGTCCTTACAAGAATGAAACGGGCCGGTGACATTTAAAGTCAACAAAAAGGTTGTTGCATCGCCCAACAAGGAGATCAACCTGAAAGGTAACAAGACGTTGTCATGCCAAAACGTTATGGCTTAATAAATAGCACAGCCTAAGAGACAAGTAGCTAACCTGCTGACCAACTACCCAACTTGCTGACCTGCAGGTCACCATGGCCTTGTGCCAGAAACGTCACTCCGGCTGGCTGAGGACCGATGGAGATTCGAACACTGGCACCAGGCCATTCCAAATCTTCAATCAACTCCTTGAGTACGCTAGACTGGATAACAAACAAGAAAACGGAAATGAATGAAAAATAATACCTGTCTGAAAAAGCGAAGACACATGGTCCATACTGCACAAATGAGGAGATGCATCGAAGAGAAGCTCACCCGAATTGCAAAGCTGACAGGCGCGTTTTGTGGAGTCGATGTGTCAACATCCAGCGCCCATTCTGGCGGGTTCATATCAGGAAGCAGAGTACGAATCTCCGCTCCAATGCTGCTGTTGCTGTTGGATGGATCCGAAAGCCTGAAAACGCCTGATCGCAAATCCCCCGCCACAGAGGCAGAAGAAAGAACCTCACAATCACGATAAGAAACGTATCCCGCAGAATGCACGCACATCTGCTGCAACGTAACCCTTACTTGAGCAACAGCTGGTTATCCGGTCCAGGATACCGCAGGGTTAATACATGTCCTGTGGTAGCTGACGCAGAGAACGCCGACAAGCAGTCAATCAAAAGAGACAGATTGATGCCGAACCGATAACGGACTTCTGGTCGATAAACGTAGTCCACGAAGAGCTGCACAATAACATAAAAAAGATGAGAACATATCATAGAATAACCGCGATTGACCGTTCTACGGAAGGGTATGAATTGGTTCAGGTGACAAATTCCGACCTCTTTCCTGAAAAACGCACGTGCGTGCAGGCAATTGAGCTCCTCAGCTACGACTACAAGACCGGTCTCGGACATCTCAACAACCGCTTCCTGCAATTAGATTTGATGAGAAAGCTATGTAAGTAACGTCGTCAGTGACCGCACAAAAAATGTATATGATGCTAAATTGGTTCTACTTCTTACTTGCTGACGTTTCCATTTGATCGTGGTAAGCTCGTCAACGAGACTGGACGTGCTCACAAGGGTACAAACTAGGTCGAAATCCATGGCCACGGCTCAAAAAGAAGCCACTAGATTTCCAAGTCAACGTGGAAAGGGACCAGACACTAGACATAACATTTTCGGAGAGCAGGAATTGTGACTCTCGAGTTAGGAACAAAAGCGTCAACTTCACCCTTTCCCCCAATTGGGACTCGAGGATGGGAAATGGGTTTGTTGCGGTGGATAAGTGGAAAACTAGGCGGAAATATGGCGGAAACTGTTGCAGAGGTTGCAAGAAATCTCCCAGGTTCCACGCAAAGGGGTTGAGCTGTGCGGCTCTGTGCAGGGCGGAGTAGAGCGTTGTTGAAATTCGCGCGTAAATCTCTGGGCGCTCGCGCAAAAAGGCGGAGATTAGCCCCTGCTGATTGGAGGTTTGGTAGTAAGTTGGTCTGGAGACTCCAAGGTTTCGAGCAGCTGGGGCCGAGTGAAGTTGGCTCGGAAGAGGGTGTTCCGCGGGAAAGCGGGCAGCAGCCAGCCACAGTGCGCTGTGATGGCTCTCCTCTCCGACCAATCCTAAGGCGAGGTCGAGGGAACACGTCAAACAATGGATGATCCCAAGGCGAGGTCTCTGCTCTGCACTTCAGGGTCTGAGTTCAGGGTGTCTCTGGTCTTGCAACTTTGATGAAAAATGTTATGCAGACAACCACCCGGGGTCATTATTGAGATATATGGAACAACAAATGTTATGGCAGGTAGTGTGATGAAATTCGGAGGCTAAATGTAATATCCATCCAGGGTAACTAACCACTGAAGATAACACAGCTGCCCGCTTTTCGCGATTTGCTGGGCTCCCATTTTGGCTTCCCTTCGGTCATCTACCATCCTTCCTTGCGTCCTCATATCCTCAAACCATTGCCTATTCCTTCATTTCTCCGTCTCTTGTTTGCTGGTCTTTCATCTATCCAGTGAACCTGCCTGACTTTATGTCATCCCCTTTACTTCGAAACCCTTCCGATAGTTGACATGGGGTGGACCTTTCTTCTTGATAGTCTTCCGGATCTTCATTACCGTCGACCGTGCCCTTGACTAATAGCTTAAGACTCACGGGATTGTAAGTTGCATGTCCTCAGCACCTCGTTAAGTGCATTCTTCTTACAGAAAAATAAGTGGTGGTCTTAGAGAACAAAGATATTCAATTAGTGTGACTACTCATCCTGCCGTTTTTCATCATGCATAGGTCGAAGGCCGTCCGTGAAAGGGACTGGTGGATTGTTCTCGAGATTCATAAGTAGCATTTGCCTTCTTTCGCGCGCAAACCTGATAGATCTTGTTTCTTTCTTTCTCACTCATGTAATTTTCCACCATTTTTATAGCAACGATGACATCGTTTGACTTGAGGTGCTGGGATCTGTGGGCTCCCCCCTATATTTTGCATCAGAGTATTTCAAGTGGTCATTTTGCTGTCTCTCTTGCCCGACCCTCCCTGTCTTCTCTTCTCAGGTCAGAGATCGTACTGGAGAAGTTCGGGGGAGTCCAGACTCCCAACGCCCCTCAACCTTCTAGTGAAAGGCAACAACGATGCAGAATCCAAACCAACACCTGCAGCCGGACCAGTCCCACCAGCAGCAGTACCCACCCCATCCCCAGCATCCCCAGGGTCCTCCCTTATCACAACCACCACCCACCCTGCTTTCAGGCCCGCAGCAGCCGAAGCACCTTGGCCCTTCCCAGCAGATCCCATTGACTCAAGCATTAGGCGCTCATCCCGGCCCAACTCCCCACGGAATCCCCCCTCATGTCCTGCAGCAGCGGCATCTGCAGCAGTCCGCGCAGCCTCCGGTGCAGGCGCAGCAGAGGGCGGTGCAACGACAGCAACAGACGCTGCTCACCCAGCCGCAGCAGCAGGGGCCTCTTTCGCAGCCTCAGCATATGCCGAAGCAGCAGCCGTTGTCGCAGCAGCAGCATAAGCAACTGAAGCATGAGCACGCAGCGCAGTCCATGCAGCCGAAGCAGCAGGGTCCGCCGCAGATGCAAGCCATGGCTCAGCAGATGCAGCCGCAGCTGCAGGCGCAGTTGCTGCAGCGGCAGCAGCAGCAGCAGCAGCAACAGCCGCAGGATCAAAGGCGGCAGCCGCCGTTACACCAGCAGGTTCCGCCTCATGCGCTCCAACAGCAAGGCATGCACCCAGGCCAGCCCATGCACCAGCAACAGCGGCAGGTGCAGCAGTCCCCAGCGTTGGCGCCACGGCAGCAGCTGATGATGGCCCAGCAGCAGCAACAGCAGCAGCAGCACGTGCCTTCAGGACTCATGCAGCCGCAGCAGCCGCCGCAGTTGCAGCAGCAGCATCAACAGCAGGCGGGAGTCGCAGCACAGAAGCATCAACAGCATCAGCAGCATCAGCAGCAGCATCCGAGGCCCTTAGGCCAGATTCCCGCTCAGCAGCAGGTACTAATGGGACAGCAGCAGGCAGCAGCGCACGGGCAGAAGCCGGTGCAGCAGCAGGGTGTGTTGATGCAGCAGCCGGGTATGGGGCAGCAGAGACAGCTGAAGCCACAGCAACCGGCAGTGCATGCAGTGCAGACTGGTGCACAGCATCCCGTGCCAGTAGCGCAGCAGCCGCAGCAGCATCATCCGCAGCAGCAGCAGCAGCAGCAACAACATCATCATCAGCAGCAGCCGCAGCAGCACCAGCAGCAACAACAGCAGCAGCAGCAACAACAGCAACAGCAACAGCAACAGCAACAACAGCAACAGCAACAGCAACAACAGCAGCAGCAGCAGCAACAGCAACAGCAACAGCAGCAGCAGCAGGGCGGTAAACTGACAACAAATGACGCGTTGGCGTATCTGAAGGCTGTGAAGGAACGGTTTCGAGACGAGAAGGACAAATACGATGAGTTCCTGGATGTCATGAAGAACTTCAAGGCACAGCTGTGAGTCCCGCACTTGCTAGTTTGCATGCCATTTATAAATCGCATGATTGCAATCACTCTTGCCTGCGCCCTCACCTTCCCACTTCGCCTTTTCTTTCCCTCACTCTTCTCTCATTCCTGCTCTCGTAAGTCTTTGCTCCTCTCTCAACCCCCCCTCAGGCTGTCCCTGTCCCCACTTTTTCACACCTTTTTGTTCTTTCCATCTACTGTTTTTCGTGTGCCAGGATCGACACAGCAGGAGTGATAGCGCGCGTGAAAGAGCTCTTTGTGGGGCACAGGCAGCTCATTCTCGGCTTCAACACCTTCCTGCCCAAGGGCTACGAAATCACCCTCCCCCCCGAACCCACAACTCCAGTCCCCGCCCCCGCGCCCGCACCTCCGCCTCAGCCTCGGTCCGCGCCTCCTGCGGTGGCTCGGCCGCCCATCACCCCATCCGGACCTGCAGGGCCCATGCCGGTTGCTCCTGCTGGTGGGATTCCCCTTGGGCCTGGAGCAACCAGTGCAGCACCTCCCCATGCAGCATTGGCAGTGCCGCATGGGGGTGCTGGGGGTGGGACTGTAGCAGCCACGCGCACCCCGCCCCTCCCTGTAGCGCCAGTGGGAGCAGGCACAGGCGCAGGAGCAGGAGCAGCAGCGGTTGCTCCTGGTGCAGGTCACGCTGGGGGAGGTGCACCTGCCGCCGCTGCTGTGGCTGTGCCTGGTAGTGGTGCTGCTGCTGTTGCTCCTAGTGCGGCCGGTGCTCCTGGCGGTGCTGGTGCTGGCGGTGCTGGTGCTGGCGCTGGTGCTGGTGCGGGTGCTCCTGCTGGTGCTGCTGCGGCTGGGCCTGCAGCAGCAGCGGGAGGAGCAGGAGGAGCAGCGGGGGCGGCAGTGGCGCCAGCTGCTCGGAGCAAGATGGTGGAGTTTGACCAGGCTATCAGCTATGTCAATAAGATTAAGGTGGGTACAGTGCAACCCTTCCAAGACCAGTGTTTTGAGTCGACTTAAAACAAATGCACCAGTCACTCAGAGCAAGATGGTGGAGTTTGACCAGGCAATCAACTATGCCAACAAAATTAAGGTACGACAACTACGCCAACACCAATGTCAATGCCAACTCTAGTCACAGCTGATAGGAATACGTGGGCCTTCGCATAATTGCTGCCTTTTTATCTGCTGTGATTCCTCGTTTTGCATGTTGATGCCATGTCAGTCGGTCTTTAAGCCGATTGGATTACCCACGCTCGGATGTCGAGCTCTTTCTCTTGTCTTTACCGTGCGCTTCTCTCTCTGGCCCTCTCCTCTCTCTCTGGCTCTCTCCTCTCTCTCCTCTCTCTCTGGCTCTCTCCTCTCTCTCCTCTCTCTCTGGCCCTCTCCTCTCTCTCCTCTCTCTCTGGCTCTCTCCTCTCTCTCCTCTCTCTCTGCCTCTCTCCTCTCTCTGTGGCCCTCTCCCCTCTCTCTGGCTCTCTCCTCTCTCTCCTCTCTCTCTGCCTCTCTCTGGCTCTCTCCTCTCTCTCCTCCAGGCCCGCTTCGCGGACGACGAGTCGGTGTACAAGAGCTTTTTAGAGATCCTCAACATGTACCGCAAGGGCAACAACAACATCGGAGACGTCTATAAGGAGGTCAGTGGTGGTTGCGCTGTGTTGTCTCTGTGCAACGAGCTCACCTTCTTCCTGCCAGAGTGACTTTTGAGTCGCCTCAAAATTCACCTTGTCTACAAGGTCAGTGGTTGTTGCACTGTGTTGTCTCTGTGCAACGAGCTCACCTTCTTCCTGCCGGACTCTGCTGCTGCTGGTCGTACATCAATTGACTTGAACGAATTTCTTGCATCTTTCTTTCGTCCCTACCCCATGCGCACCCGCTCCCTTCAGGTGGCAACCCCATTCAAGGACCACTCGGACCTGCTGGAGGAGTTCACCTTCTTCCTGCCGGACTCTGCTGCTGCTCGTCATGCATCAATTGACTTGATCCAATTCCTTGCGTCTTTCGTCCCTTCCCCATGCGCACCCACTCCCTTCAGGTGGCCACGCTGTTCAAGGACCACTCGGACCTGCTAGAGGAGTTCACCTTCTTCCTGCCCGACTCTGCTGCCAGTCACTTACCCCAGTGGCGTGGGGTGGGCCCGCCCCCCCCTGGAACTGTTGCTGCTGGCGGTGGTGCTGCTGCAGGTGTTGCTGCTGCAGGGGCAGCAGCAGGCGCAGCAGGAGTGGCAGGGGCGGCAGTGGCAGCAGGAGCGCGGCCGGGTGCAGCAGCTGCTGGTACAGCTGGCGCTGCTCCTGGGGTTGCTGGTGCCGCTACAGCCGCTGCTGCCGCTGGTGGAGCTGCGGCTGGTGGCCGGGCAGAGAAGGCCAAGGTGTGTTTGGTTGCAGGCTGTAGCGTCTATTTTGTTTCTTGTTTACTCATGTGCGTGCCTTAAGATCTGCTCTGTTCTTCTGATCTTATCTTGAGGCCCTCAAGTTGAGGGTCTCAGAGCCTTCTCACCTTACGTCTTTAAGACTCCCTACCTAGTCAATGATTCGATCCTGTGTTCCTCCTCTTGCTTGCAAGTTTTCTTGCTCTGCAGTGGCATCTCTGGCTGCTTCTGCCGTTGTGTGGTGGCGGTGATGGCTCACCGAGGTCCCTTCCAGCTAAATGCTATCCAGCCCTCCTGTCCTTACAAGACTGCCTCCTGCGTTTCTTGACTCTGATGTGCAGAGGGAGAAGGATGGGGACCATCCAGAGAGAAGGAGGAAGGGGGCAGAGGGGCGGGGCAAGGAGAAAGACGCCGAGGGCCGCGGGAAGGTGAAGGAGGAGGTAGAGGAAGACGCATCAGCACACCATCCGAAGCGACTGCAGCAGCAGCAGCATGTGGACTCCTCTCATCCGCATGTGCACCCCGCACACCAAGCAGCGGGGCTAGGAGTGGGAGGGGTGCAGCAGGCTGGGGAGGAGGGCTCTCACAGAAAGCAGCCTCTGCTGCTGGACCTGCAGAAACCCCCCCGAGATGCAGAGATGCAGGTGGAGGAGAAACGGGTTGGGCTGGTGCCGCCACAGCTGCACCCGCAGCCGATGCAGGTGGATGGGACTGGGAAGGAGGGGCATGGGGAGTGGGGGCAGCAGCAGCAGGAGGAGCGGGAGGGAGGGGCGCATCCTGTGGTGCAGCCGCCGCAGCAGGCGCAGCAGGGGCCGAAGCGGAAGGGGCGGAAGGGGGAGGAGGGAGGGAAGAAGAAGGAGCTTGCGGGAGCGGCAGGGGAGGGTGCAGGAGCGGACGAGAGGAAAGGGAGCAGGGGTGAGTGGGGCTAGTAGGATTTATGGGCAGGGATGTTAGTGCGGGGTCGAATTAAGGGGTTGGGCTGGTATGGTTTCACGAGTCTCTGTCAATGCCTAACTTTCTCTCTCCCTCCCACTTGCCTCCTTCTTCCTCCCTTCCTCTCGCTCCTCACTATCTTCCTCCGTTCCTTGTTTTTCTATCCCTCTCACTTTCTTCCCCTACCTCCCCTTCCTCCCCTTCCCCCCCCCCAGCCCTGGGCATGCACAGGGAGTTGGCGTTTTTCGAGAGGGTGAAGGCGAGGGTGCGCAGCAGGGAGGTGTATCAGGAGTTCCTCAAGTGCCTCAACATCTTCTCCCAGGAGATCATCGCCCGCGCTGAGCTGCAGAGCCTCGTGGGGGACATCCTCGCCAAACACCCCGACCTTGTCGAGGGCTTTAATGAGTTTCTGGCTCGATGCGAAAATCTAGGTGCGCCTTTGAATAGCATTTGGGAAGTGTTTTTTTAGGCGCGCCTAGTTGCTTACTCTTATGTAGCATACATATATCAGGGTTCTTACAGATGCGCGTGCAGATTCTTACATGACTGTCTGGTGTGCACGTGTGCCGGCTGGTGTTTTCACTCGCTTTCAGACTTTGAGACATTGGAGTCGGCAGGAGGAGGGCCAGGGGTGAAGGTGGAGGAGGAGGAGCGGAAGGACGGCGGGGAGAAGGATAGGGAGCATGAGAGAGCGGAGACTAAGGAGAGGGAGAGGAAAGAGATGGGGGAGCGTGAGAAGGAGGGAGTGAGGAAGAAGGAGAGGGAGAGAGAGCGAGGGAAGGACCATGGGCATGTGGAGAAGGAGGTAGAGGAGCGAGAGAGGGAGGAGAGGGAGAGGGAAGAGAGAGAACGAGAGGAGAAGGAGCGGATTAAGGAGAGGGAGAGGGAGGAGCGGGAGAGGGAACGGGAGAGGGAGCGGGAGAGGGAGAAGGAGAGGGAGAGGGAGGCGAGAGAACGGGAGCGGGAAGCAAGGGAGAAGGAGAAGGAGAAAGAGCGAGCAGCGGCAGCAGCAGCAGCGGCGGCGGCGGCGGCGGCGGCGGCGGCAGCGGGCAAGTCAGTTGTAGCGAGGAAGGAGCAAGTGCAGTATAAGTCCATCTGTGAAATGGATCTGTCGGCGGCAGAGCGCTGCTCCCCCAGCTACCGCCTCCTCCCTAAACCAGTGAGTTGCCTTTCACACAAATGCGATGGGCCCCGTGCCATGCCATCGCAAAGAGCTAGGGATGAAGGTGCTGAACGATGTGTGATGTCTCAACCAAAATGCACTTCCCCTCCCCCTCTCCCCCCCCTCCCCCCCTCCTCCCCTCCCACTGCACGGAGCTGGATGAAGGTGCTGAACGATGTGTAATGTCTCACCCATTATGCACTTCCCCTCCCCCCCTCCCCCCCTCCCCCCCTCCCATCGCACGGAGCTGGGAATGAAGGTGCTCAACGACGTGTGGTGTCTCCCCCAACCACCACTTCCTCTCCCTGTCGCCCCATCCCTCCCCCTTGTCCCCCCCTTTTCCCCCCTCTGCTGCAGCAAATGCGCCCCGTGTCGTGCCATCGCAAGGAGCTGGGAATGAAGGCGCTCATTCACGTGTGGGTGTCTTCCCCAATCTTCTCTTTCACCCCCCCTTCACCCCTCCTCTCGCCCCTTGATTGCAGCAAATGCGCCCCGTGTCGTGCCACCGCACGGAGTTGGGAATGAAGGTGCTCAACGACGTGTGGGTGTCAGTGACGTCAGGCAGTGAGGATTACTCCTTCACTCTCCCACCCTCTCTTCTGCCCTCCCCCCTCCCTCTCCTCTTGCAGCAAATGCGCCTTGTGTCGCGCCATCGCACGGAGCTGGGAATGAAGGTGCTCAACGACGTGTGGGTGTCCTCCACCTCTCTCCTCCCCTCTTCCCCCTGCCTCCAACCCCCTTTCTTCCTCTTGCAGCAAATGCGTCCCGTATCGTGCCACCGCACGGAGCTGGGAATGAAGGTGCTGAACGACGTGTGGGTGTCGGTGACGTCAGGCAGTGAGGACTACTCGTTCACGCACATGCGCAAGAACCAGTACGAGGAGTCTCTCTTCCGCTGCGAGGACGACCGGTGAGTGCCACACGGATGCGCACCCAGCCCCACCCAGCTCCACCCCTGCACATCCAGCCCCATCCAGCCCCACCCATGCCCACGCCTCCCTCCCGCCACCTGTCCGCACTACTCCTTCACGCACATGTGCAAGAACCAGAACGAGGAGTTGCTGTTTCGCTGCGAGGATGACCGGTGAGTTGCACCCATGCCCACGTGAGTGTTTCTTGAGTCTGTTTGACAGCAAAACTTGGGCATTTCTTGAATCAGTTGCTCCTATCCCCCACCACACCACCCAGCACCCTCCCCCCCTTGTCCCTTACTCCTTATCATCCTCCCGCAGCTTCGAGCTGGACATGCTGCTGGAGTCCACGGCAGTGACAGCTGTACTTTACCCCTTCCCCCCCTCCCCCTCGTCCTCCCTGCCGTTTTCCGTGCACTTCCCCCTTGCGTGCCCCCCCTGCCCTCTATCGCCCTCCTGCAGCTTCGAGCTGGACATGCTGGATTCTACAGCAGTGACAGCAATACTTGACTCATCTCCGCTCATCCCCACCGTCCCCCCCTTTTCCCCTGTCTCCCCTTGGTCTCCATCGCCCACGCGCAGTTTCGAGCTGGACATGCTGCTGGAGTCCACGGCAGTGACAGCACGGCGAGTGCAGGAGGTGATCGACCGCATGCACGGCATGACTGACGCTGAGCGGAGTGGCTTCCGGGTGGAAGAGAGCCTCACAGGTGAACGAGATGGGGACTTTAACAAGTGACAGGGGACTCGTTGAAGGGCGAGTGCAGGAGGTGATTGATCACATGCACGGCATGACCGACGCTGAGCAGAGCGGCTTCAGGGTGGAGGAGAAGTTGAGGGGTGAGAGGGGCAAGGAGGGGTGAAGTTTGATTGAAACGGGGTGGGGAGGGACCTTGTTCAAGGGCGAGTGCAGGAGGTGATTGACTGCATGCGCACGCCCACACTCCCACCCCCTAACCCCCACGCGCCCGACGCCTACCCCCTTATCCCGCCCAGCCATCAACATGAGGTGCATAGAGCGCATATACGGCGACCACAGGCTGGATATCCAAGAGCTGGTCAAAGGCACACCAGTGTGCATCTTGGTTCAACCGGGTCATTCCCTGACTCCCGCCCCTCTCTCTCTCCCCCATACCCCCCCAGCCATCAACATGCGGTGCATTGAGCGCATATACGGCGACCATGGGCTGGACATTCAAGAGCTAGTCAAGCGGACCCTGCTTCAACCGGATATTTTCCCCTTCTGCTCCCCTCCCCCCCACCCAGCCATCAACATGCGGTGCATAGTGCGCATATACAGCGACCATGGGCTGGACATCCTACAGTTGGTCTAGTGCACCCTGCTTCACTCGCTCCCCTGTGTCCCCATTTCTCCCGTACCCACCCAGCCATCAACATGCGGTGCATAGAGCGCATATACGGCGACCACGGGCTGGACATTCAAGAGCTGGTCAAGCACATACAACCTGGCTCAACCTGATTCTCCCCATGCCCCTTCTGCTCCCCTCTCCAACACCCCCTCCCCCATGCAGCCATCAACATGCGGTGCATCGAGCGCATATACGGCGACCACGGGCTGGACATTCAAGAGCTGGTCAAGCGCACGCCAGCGGTGGCGCTGCCGGTGGTGCTGCAGCGGCTGAAGCAGAAGCAGGAGGAGTGGGTGCGGTGCCGGGTGGAGATGAACCGCGTGTGGGCGGACGTGTATGCCAAGAACTACGCCAAGTCGCTGGACCACCGCAGCTTCTACTTCAAGCAGCAGGACAAGAAGAGCCTCAGCATGAAAGGTGCGTGTAAGGGGGGGCGGAGGGGGCGTGGGTGGTGGGAGGATGGGCGTTTGGCTGACTCAGATGCAGGGAGAGAGTGCGGCAGCATGGAAAGTGAGAGGAGAAGCAGGTGAGAGGAGAAGCAGGTGAGATGGGAAGCAGGTGAGATGGGAAGCAGGTGAGATGGGAAGCAGGTGAGATGGGAAGCAGGTGAGATGGGAAGCAGGTGAGTGGGTGGGAGGTGAAGCAGGAGGAGTGGGTGCGGTGCCGGGCGGAGATGAACTGCGTGTGGGCGGACGTGTATGCCAAGAACTACGCCAAGTCGCTGGACCACCGCAGCTTCTACTTCAAGCAGCAGGACAAGAAGAGCCTCAGCATGAAAGGTGCGTGCGGGGGAGTGGGGTGAGAGGGGGGTGAGGGAGGGGCGTGGCTGGTGGGAGGATGGGCGTTTGGCTGACTCAGATGCGGGGAGAGAGTGCGGCAGAATGGCAGGTGAGAGAGGAGAAGCAGGTGAGTGGGTGGGAGCAGAAGCAAGAGGAGTGGGTGCGGTGCCGCGTGGAGATGAACCGCGTGTGGGCGGACGTGTATGCCAAGAACTACGCCAAGTCGCTGGACCACCGCAGCTTCTACTTTAAACAGCAGGACAAGAAGAGCCTCAGCATGAAAGGTGCGTGAGGGGGAGGAAGGAGGGGTCGTGCCTGGTGGAAGGGTGGCTGTTTAGCTGCTTTATATGCAGTGAGGGCGGGAGCATGGAAGGTCGGAAGCATGGAAGGTTTACACCCCCCCCTCTCCCCCTCTCCCCCCCCGCACACCCACAGGTCTACTGTCTGAAATTCGGGAGTTGAACGAGCAGAAGCGCAAGCAAGACGAGGTGGTGGCGGTAGTGGCACTAGCTGTTCCCACACGCCCCTTTCATTTATCTTCGCCCCCTTCCCCACCTCCCCCCCCCCAACAGGTCTGTTGTCGGAGATTCGGGAGTCGAACGAGCAGAAGCACAAGCAGGACGAGGTGGTGGCGGCAGTGGCACTAGCTGTTCCCACACGCACCTTTCATTCACACCCCCCCCTCCTCTCCTCCCTCCTCCAACCCCCCCCCCCCCCCCACCACAGGTCTGCTGTCTGAAATTCGGGAGCTGAACGAGCAGAAGCACAAGCAGGACGAGGTGGTGGCGGCACTAGCTGTCCCCACACGCCGCCCGCTCATCCCGGATGTCCGGATGGCATACAATGACGCCGCCATCCACGAGGATCTCCACGAAATCATTAAATTCTCAACAGAGGAAGTGTGCAACTCGCCAGAGCAGTCTGCTAGGGTTATGAAGCTCTGGACGGGTTTTATTGAGATGTTTTTGAATGTGCCCGCGGTCTGGTCGAAAGTTGTTGCTGAGGAGAAAGCTGCCCGGGACGCGGAGATTGCTGCCCGAGAAGCTGCGAGGGCTGCCCGGGGGGGGCGTGAGGGGGAGTGGAATGGAGAGGTTGGTGGGGGAGAGGGGGAGGGGGAGGGGAGGGAGAGGAGTAGAGAGAAGGGCAGAGGAGGGGAGGAGAGGAAGCGGGAGAGGCAAAGTGGGGAGGCAGAGGGGCAGAGGAAGAGAGGGAGGCATGAGGGGGAGGGTGATGGGGCGGGGGGTATTAGTGAGGGGCAGAGATCAGGGGGTAGGGAGGCGGGGTGGGATGGGCTGGAAGAGGGCGAATTCAATCCTGGGGGAAAGGCGTCAGAGGGAGCAGGAGGGGGAGAGGAAGAAGAGCCTCATGTGGTGAGGAAGAGCAGAAGCAGCTTGGTGCACGTGGGTGGAGGGGGCGGGGGCGGAAATGGGGGAGGAGCAGGGGCGGGAGGGATGGTGAATGGGGCAGCGCTGGGGGGAGCAGCAGGGAAAGGCAAGGATGCTAGTTCACGAGCTGCCGCTGCTGCTGCTGCTGCTGCTGCTGCTTCGGCTGCTGCTGCTGCAGCAGCAGCAAAGAGGAGGAAGAGGGGGAGGAGGGAGAGGGAGGAGGGGGAGGATGAGAGTGTGAGGTCGGAGGGGTCTAGTGCGGGCGAGTCTGATAGTGGGGGCGATGAGAGGAGGAGGCAGAGGCGGAGGAGGAGAGAGAGTGAGGGGCGTGAGGATGAGGAGGGGAGAGGGGAGGAGGAGGAAGACGAGGAGGAGGCAGAGGATAGGGAAAGCGGGGGGGAGATGGGGGAGGAGGGTGGGGCGGGAGACGAGGAGGAGGAGGATGAAGAGGAGGAAGGGGCGAGGGGGTGGATATCGGGGCTGGGACCCAAGGAGAGGCGGTACAGAGGGGGGAAGAAGTGGGGGAAGCATTGGTACAAGGCGTGTCGCCCTGTGGTGGCTCATAGGGATTCGTTTGAAGCAGCTCGTTTGGAGCTTCGTGGTATACTAGCTGGTGGTATACCACCCGCTGGTGTGCCTCTGCTGCTCCCTGCTGCTGCAGGAGAGGGTGTGGGGCGCAAAGGGGGGGATAGTGGGAATGGGAGGAGGGGAGAGAATGGTGCTGGTGGGATGGGAGAGGGCGGGAGGGTGAGGAAGGGGAAGGGGCGAGCAGAGGCAGGGGGAGACGAGGAGGGCAAGGAGGGGAGGGAGAGGGAGGAGAAGGAGGAGAGGGAGAAGGAGAGGGAGAGGGAACGAGAAAGAGAGTTGTCTGAGGAGCTGTGGGGAAGAGCGCAGGCAGAGGCAGGGGCGAGCAGAGTGATGTATGGCAACGACAGCATGTACATGCTCTTCCGATTGCACCATGTGAGTAATCATCTGTTCCCGAGGCGGTTCTTGGAAGTGAGTGATCGTGAGTCCTTGAGGTGCTTCTTAGAAGGGGCGATCAGAGTGATGTATGGCAACGACAGCATGTACATGCTCTTCAGGTTACACCATGTGAGTAACAGCGAGTCATGCCATGTTGAGTAGTATGTACAGTTGTGCTTCTTGCACGAGATGACTGTGTGGCTTGAAGGAAAGGTGTTAGTAAATTCCGTGGCTGCAATCGACCTGTCACATTCCGTCACATTCCGACTCGGAGACTTTGGCTGGAAAGATTTCAGCGTCTCTTCGACCAGCTTTTGATCGAATGGAGTGGGTTAAGGCTGTGACCGCAGATTATAAGACATGGGTAACCCTGCTGGGAGGTAGCACGGTAGCACTGTGACTTACCCATGTCTATTATTCTGCAGTCACAGCCTTAACCCACTCCGCTCGATCATAAGCTGGTCGAAGAGGCGCTGGAATCTTTCCAGCCACAGTCTCCCAGTCGAATTGTGGAGGCATTTATGGCAGTGTGGCAGCAATCGACCTATCACATTCCGTCTTTCATCATCTCACCACCTGTCTTTCATCATCTCACCACCTGTTCCCCTGCCTCTCTCCCTCACCTCCTTTCTGCGCCCCTCTCCACCACCAGACGCTTTACGAGCACATTCTGAGTGCCAAGGTGAATGCGCGGGCATCAGAGGAGAAGTACCGTGCACTCAACCACTCCGACTCACCTCTCTCCCTCACCTCTGCACCCTTCTCTCTCCCCTCCCTTCCCCCCCTCCCCTTCCACCCCCCCCTGTCACCAGACGCTGTACGAGCGCATTCTGAGTGCCAAGGTGAATGCGCGTGCATCAGAGGAGAAGTACCGTGCACTCAACCACTCCGACCCACCCGACCTCTACGCCAAGTGAGTGTCTCTGCACCAAGCAAGCGTCTCTGCACCACTCGAACCTTTGAGTTTCACACGTCACAAAGACTGGAGAAGTACCGTGCGCTCAACCACTCCGACCCGCCTGACCTCTACGCCAAGTGAGTTTCTGTCACTTGTACTGCTTTGGGGAGTTTGCGTAAGTTCCAGGTGCAAGTCTTGCAAGTACCAACTTTTCAACAGAAACTCTTCTTGGACGCCTCAGGAACAGACTTCGCAACCTGCTGGATGGGCAGAGAAGGGCACGTGGTGTGCTGCGCGTGCGCTAACTGTTGACTTTCTTGATTTCTTCCTTTGACCAAGCAGGTTCTTAGAGGTGCTATACAACCTGCTGGACGGGCAGAGAAGGGTACATTGTGTGGTGTGTGCTCTAACTGATGACTTTCCTGACTTTCTTGACTTCTCTCATCACCTGAGCAGGTTCCTGGAGGTGCTGTACAACCTGCAGAAGGGGCAGAGCTGGATGCAGTGGTTCTATTTAAAGACTGTGTTCTCAAGCCTGTGTTCCCCCATTTCTCTCATTCACTGGCCAGGTTCCTGGAGGTGCTGTACAACCTGCTGGACGGGCAGATCGACAACACCCGGTTTGAGGACGAGTGCCGTGCTGCCATCGGCACCCAGTCCTACGTGCTGTTCACCATTGATAAGCTCATCTACCGCCTCGTCAAGCAGGTGAGTTGCCGCACCTCATGTCACCCTCCCGTGCCACTCTCCCGTGCCACTCTCCCGTCACCATCTTCCCATCGGCACCCCGTGTGTGCATGATTTACTGGATCGTTCGCTCATGCCATCATCTCTCCCACCCCATTCTGCTCTCTCGACACCCCCCCTTTCCTCCTCTCTCTCATCAACAGCTGCAGACGTGTGCGGGGGACGAGGTGGGGGCGAAGCTGCAGCAGCTGCACGACTACGAGGTGGCCAAGGGGGCGCGCGGCTATGTGGACCTCGTGTATCAGGCTGCTCCCTCATGCCAATCTTCCTTGACTCCCGCCCCTCTCTCTCTCTCGTGTTTCCCCTTGTTCTCTTCCCTGCTTCTCTCTTCCCCCTTCCCTCCCTTCCCCCCTCTTCCCTTCGCCCTCTCCTCTCTCTTCCCAACAGCTGCAGGCGTGTGCGGGGGACGAGGTGGGGGCGAAGCTGCAGCAGCTGCATGATTACATGATTCACAGTAGTCGCTCGCTTGTGTCATCATCTCCCCCACTCCATCCCCCCTTCTCGACCACCCCCCTCCTCTCTCCCACTACAGCTACAAGCGTGTGCGGGGGACGAGGTGGGGGCGAAGCTGCAGCAGCTGCATGATTACATGATTCACAGTAGTCGCTCGCTTGTGTCATCATCTCCCCCACTCCATCCCCCCTTCTCGACCACCCCCCTCCTCTCTCCCACTACAGCTACAAGCGTGTGCGGGGGACGAGGTGGGGGCGAAGCTGCAGCAGCTGCACGACTACGAGGTGGCCAAGGGGGCGCGCGGCTATGTGGACCTCGTTTACCAGGCCAACGCGTGTGCGCTCATGCATGACGACTCCCTCTATAGGATCGAGCTGGTGAGTGAAGGAGGGGCATCACTTTGCTGGTGGGTGAGGGATGGGTGTTAGAAGGCTGCTGCCAAGGGGGGCACGCGGCTATGTGAACCTGGTCTATCAGGCCAACGCGTGTGCGCTCATGCACGACGACTCGCTGTACCGGATCGAGCTGGTGAGTGAAGGAGGGGCATCACTTTGCCGGTGAGTGAGGGATGGGTGTTAGAAGGCTGCTGCCAAGGGGGGCACGCGGCTTTGTGAACCTGGTCTATCAGGCCAACGCGTGTGCGCTCATGCACGACGACTCGCTCTACAGGATCGAGCTGGCGAGTGCAGGAAGGGCAGCGGGAGGGATGATGTAAGGCTATTTGAGGGGCGCGTGGCTATGTGGACCTCGTTTACCAGGCCAACGCGTGTGCGCTCATGCACGACGACTCGCTCTACAGGATCGAGCTGGTGAGTGAAGGAGGGGCATCACTTTGCCGGTGGGTGAGGGATGGGTGTTAGAAGGCTGCTGCCAAGGGGGGCACGCGGCTTTGTGAACCTGGTCTATCAGGCCAACGCGTGTGCGCTCATGCACGACGACTCGCTCTACAGGATCGAGCTGGCGAGTGCAGGAAGGGCAGCGGGAGGGATGATGTAAGGCTATTTGAGGGGCGCGTGGCTATGTGGACCTCATGTATCAGGCGAACGCGTGTGCACTCATGCACGACGACTCTCCCCCTCTACTTCCCTCTCTGCAGCTAGAGCAGCAGCCACGCGAGGGGGAGATGATGGTGCAGCTGATGGAGAGCATAATTGACCCCACCAATCTCACCCACTGCATCCATCCACGAGCTAATAAGCCCGATTTCTTCCCCACTCCCTCTCTTCTCCCCCACTCCCCCCTTCCCTTCCAAACCGCAGCTGGCGCAAAAACCAGGCGAGGGGGAGATGACGGTGCAGCTGATGGAGGGCTGGCCGGAGAAGGTGGAGGTGCCGGCAGCACCACCCTCTCCTGTCTCGTGTTTCAAACCCCACCTCTCCACTCCCTTACTTCCTGCTTTTTCCCCCATCACAGTTAGCACAACAACCAGGCGAGGGCGAGATGACAGTGCAGCTGCTTCTTCCCCCATCACAGTTAGCACAACAACCAGGCGAGGGCGAGATGACAGTGCAGCTGCTTCTTCCCCCATCACAGTTAGCAACACTCTCTCCCTTACCCTCTCTCATCCTGCACCCTCCCTTCCCACTTCTTCCCCCCACTGCAGCTAGCGCAACAGCCAGGCGAGGGCGAGATGACGGTGCAGCTGATGGAGGGCGGGCCGGAGAAGGTGGAGGTGCCGGCAGCAGCCATGGATTCCGCCTTCCTGCACTACCTCTGGCACTTCCTGCACTCGCCTCCCTCCCACGCACCCGCGCGTGGTCATGTGTTCCTCGCCAGGTATGGGCTTGTCTCTCTCTCTTGTCTGCATGGGGTGGGTTCCATGAGTGTCCCATGTGGTGCCGGAAGCAGCCATGGAGGCTGCCTTCCCACACTACCTCTGGCACTTCCTGCACTCGCCGCCCTCCCATTCCCCTGCTCGTAGTCAAGTGTTCCTCTCCAGGTATGCGCTGCACTCCTGCCCTCCTCTTTCGCCCTCCTTTCGTCCCGCCGCTCTACCTCTGGCACTTTCTGCATTCCCCGCCCTACCTTGCACCGAGCCGCATCCATGCCTTCCTTGCCAGGCATGCACTGCTGCCTTGTGCTGCATTCCTGCGCTTCTCTCTTGCCCCACACTCTCTTGCCACTGCTTCTTCAGATGTTGCCATGTCTTTTGAGGCGCCTCAAAAGCCAGGCTTGCACCACTGCTTGTGTGCCCTCCTCTCTTGCCCCACACTCTCTTGCCACTGCGTCCTCAGATGTTGCCAATGGCTGTGCGTGCGCTGTGATATGTGTGCACTTTCCAATGCGTGAGCATCACCAGGAACGTGAGAAAGGCATCATCGTCTTCATCCTCAGCAGCAGCAGCAGCAGCAGCAAAGAGGGGGCGCAGCAAGGAGGACGAGGAGAGGGCAGCGCTGGAGAGTGTGCTTATAGTGAACGGCCTCGAGTGCAAGCTCTCCTGTGTCACCTCCAAGGTAAACCCTAACACCTCCCCCCATCTCCCCTCCTGGTGTGCTTTAAGTCGACTTAAAAGTGCGCTCTGAGTCAAAACACGCCTCGAGTGCAAGCTCTCCTGTGTCACCTCCAAGGTAACCCCGCATCACCCTTATCCTGTTCTCTCTCTCGCATCTGAACATCCTGCTTAGGTTGTTACCCTGGGCGAGCCCTTCTCACTCATTATTTCCATTACCGACCCTCAAGGTGCCTAAATAATCGTAGGACTCCCCAACTCATCCGATCTTCATCCTACCAGGTGTCTTATGTCCCTGGTAGTGACACGGAGGACTACCTGTTCCGCCACAAGAAGCACCGCCGACCCAGGAGTGCATCCCAGGCACTGGCTCTTGCCTGCAATGCCTGACCTCTTTCGTAATCCCTTGCCTCCCCAACTCGCTATACTATTTACACCCCATCCAGGTGTCCTATGTACTAGACACGGAGGACTATCTGTTCCGCCACAAGAGGCACCGCCGGCCCAGGAGTGCTTCCCAGGCACCAGCGCTGCCGCACAAGGCCCAGGGGACAGCTGGCACGCAGGGATTGGCCGAGCGCTCGCACCGAGCGGCAAGGCGGTTACGGCGTTACCAGCAGTGGATTTCGGCAGGCGTGCCCCCGCCCTCCTCATGATGGGTTTTTTCCGATTAAGTTAAACGGGCAGCTCGAGCAAAGCTGTAAGTGCTGCTGCTGCTATTGTGTGATTTGATCATGTGTAGAACCCCCTTCGCTCCTCTCGAAAAAACTTTATTTGCGTAAGGGTATGGAGGTGAAAGTGCTGGTGCTGTTTCTTGCTGTGGTCTCGCTTTTAAGAATTTGCCAGCGGCTCTGTTTCCTTCTGTGTTGCCCGCGCTGTTTCCTTCTGTGCTGCCCGCTCTGTTTCCTTCTGTGCTGCCTGCGCTGTTCACCTTGCTTGCACTCTGTGCTCTTCAGTATTTTCTTGAAACCATTTGATTTGACCCTTTTTCGTTCCCTGCCCTCCTTCCCTCCATCTTTGTGAACAGTGTGCCATGCAGAGCTCTCCTTGCTGGTGCTCTTAGGCGGGCATTAGGCTGCGTGGTGTTTAGATTCTAGAGTAATATGTAGATGTTCGTTATCCTGTATATGTGGGATGAGCGCTAAGGAGGTCTCCCTCCCTTGATGGCCACAGCATTTTGTGGCCCCAAGTTACCGTTCCGCATGTCCCTGGCAGCACTATTTTTTTTTTTTTTTTTAATGTTGAATGCTGACCTGCCCTTGTGAGAGTTTTATTGCATTGTGTTCCGCAGACAGAACCTGAATGCAGTGCGCTTAGGAAGGGAATGAATATGAAAAGAGAGGGGCGTCAGTTCACAATAAAGAATGGTGAAACTCGGCTGTACACGAATCAGCCAATATCGAACCCGCACAAAACTTCAGTTCTCCCGCAGTTGCACTTAGTTTACCCAGGGAGACGTCAACTGTCTCGTTTTCGGATAGTCTTTCGGGAGACTGCAGGCACACTTCCTCAACGTTCGCTGCTTACTGTCGCACGGAGCAGCAACGAAGAACCCCTTCCTTCTCGCCTCACTTCGTTCCCTCTCCCCCCCGGTTCTCGCGCCTCCTCTCCCCCGTCGTTCGCGCCAATGGCGGCGGCGGCGGCGTCCGCGGCGCTGGGCGATCTGCTGCTGCTGCAGGGGCAGGCGAAGCGCGACCCGGAGGGGTACCGCGAGGAGTTCGAGCGGCAGCACCGGCACTACCGCGCGCTGCTCGCCGTGTTCTCTTTAAAGCCCCACGCGGAGAGCAAGGAATTCGGCGACCTCGTCATGTTCCTCGCGCAGGTGGGCTTTAAGTCGCTCCTTCGAGCGACTTAAAGGCTGCTACAGCCGATATAGCACTGGCGCTAGAGCACCGCTGCTGCTGCGCGCCGGTGGCCGTGTTGCTCTTTGACCCGGAAGCTGAAACAAGGAGTTATTCACTTTTGAGAATTTGAAGAGGGGATTTTGTAGTATTCTTTGCGCGCGGGGAAGGAGTGAGATTGAAGGTTAGGTTCAAAGAGCAGCTACGGTAGAGGTTTTTGGTTTCGGGTGAGGGTTTTCACCCTGTCTGCGAGGGTTAGGGTCGGGGTTAGGGTTAGTGTTTAGTTATTTACAAATTTAGGTTTTTCGTCTGCGAGGTATATGCTTGGTCCGCTCCGCATCAGTCCGTTTATGTTCTGAACCTTCAATCTCAAAACCTCTCCTTAAACCCTTAACCCCGAAGCCCTGTGGGTCCTTCCCCCTTTGCCCGCCTTGTCGTCTCCCCCAGCCCCTCTCACCACCCCCTTCCCAGCTCGCGCCCTTCTACCGCAGCACCATGGGCGGGTTCCCAGGCGAGGTGATGGGGCTGCTACAGTGCACACGCGCATGAAACCCCCATTTTCACCTGTTCTCCTGCCTTCTCCCCTTCTTTTTGTCCCCTCGATTTCCCCCCAGCTCGCCCCCTTCTACCGCAGCGCCATGGGAGGGTTCCCGGGGGAGGTGATGGGGCTGCTGCAGTGCACACGCGCTTATACTGTTCCAACTTCTTCCTGTTCTGCCCTTCCTTTCTCCGCTTCTCCCCCCTCCCACCCCCCCAGCTCGCGCCCTTCTACCGCAGCACTATGGGGGGGTTCCCAGGCGAGGTGATGGGGCTGCTGCAGTGCACACGCGCTAACAGTATTGCGCTCTGGACATCCCCATCTTGTCCCCCCCAGCTCGCGCCCTTCTACCGCAGCACCATGGGCGGGTTCCCAGGCGAGGTGATGGGGCTGCTACAGTGCACACGCGCATGAAACCCCCATTTCACCTGTTCTCCTCCCTTCTCCCCTTCTTTTTGTCCCCTCGATTTCCCCCCAGCTCGCCCCCTTCTACCGCAGCGCCATGGGAGGGTTCCCGGGGGAGGTGATGGGGCTGCTGCAGTCCCACGTGGACGTGCTTCACCCAATGCTACGCCGCCAGCTGGCACACGCGCTCATCCTCCTGCGCAACCGCCAGGTGCGTGCGTGCCTGCTTGCAAGGTGGAATATTTTGCACCCTGCCTGCTTGCTCCCCTTGCTCCCCTTGCTCCCCTTGCTCCCCTGGCTGTCTCGCTAGCTGGCTTGCCTTCTCGCCTGCTTCCTCGCTTTCTTGCTTTGTCCGCCTCGCCCCCGCACTCGGCACGTTACACTTACAGAAGAGTGAGCCTGGCACTTAGAAGAGTGAGCCTGGCACTTAGAAGAGTGAGCCTGGCACTTAGAAGAGTGAGCCTGGCACTTAGAAGAGTGAGCCTGGCACTTAGACGAGTGAGCCTGGCACTTAGAAGAGTGAGCCTGGCACTTAGACGAGTGAGCCTGGCACTTAGAAGAGTGAGCCTGGCACTTAGACGAGTGAGCCTGGCACTTAGACGAGAGAGCCTGTCACTTAGAAGAGTGAGCCTACACGTCTGCTTCCTCGCTTGTGAGAATTCCACAGATAGGCATCGAAGAGTATGAGCCTTGAATCAAGTTCAGTGGGGAGATGAGTCTAGCTGCTTGATTCTGCGCCTCTGCTTGCCCCTTCCACCTCCTCCTCTCCCTTCCTTGCAATGAGTCGTGTTTTGAGTCAACTCAAAACACGACTCATCACACGCAGATGAGTCTAGCAGCTTGATTCTGCACCTCTGCTTGCCTCGTCCACCTCCTCCTCTCCCTTCCTTGCAACCCCTCTCACAGCCCAACAACCCACTCCCACCTGTTTTCCTGCAGCTATTGGGTCCCACGGACCTCATTCCGCACTTCTTCCGCCTCTTCCGCTGCCCCGACAAGGCCCTTCGCAAGCTGGTGTTCTCCCACATCGTGAACGATATCCGGCGGCTCAACCAGAAGCACCGCCACGAGGGGGTCAACAGGCCCATCCAGAACATGCTCTTTTCCCTTGTGCAGGTGCGGTGGTGGTTGTGCAGGTGCGGTGGTGGTTGTGCAGGTGCGGTGGTGGTTGTGCAGGTGCGGTGGTGGTTGTGCAGGTGCGGTGGTGGTTGAGCAGGTGCGGTGGTGGTTGTGCAGGTGCGGTGGTGGTTGTGCAGGTGCGGTGGTGGTTGTCCAGGTACGGTGGTGGTTGTCCAGGTACGGTGGTGGTTGTGAAAAAGTCTCTCGCAGTGCTCATCGAGCTCTACCTCCGGAAAGTGTGGACCGACGTGCGTGCGCACTGTGAACGTGACGTGATTGCGACGGCCTGCCTGCACCCGTGCGCGCGCATCATGGTGGGCGCGCTCCAGTTCTTCCTGGGGCCTTTCAACTCTCAAGCCTCTCCCTCCCTCTCCCGACATTTCACACACCCACCACCAGGAGGAGAACGAAATGGCAGCCAAGAAATCCCTGGCGGTCCTGATTGAACTCTACCGACGAAAAGTTTGGACCGACGCCCGCACCGTGAATGTGATCGCACCTTTCCCTACCTCGCCCTCCTCACCCACCACCAGGAGGAGAATGAAATGGCAGCCAAGAAATCACTAGCAGTGCTCATCGAGCTCTACCGACGAAAAGTTTGGACCGACGCCCGCACCGTGAATGTGATCGCGACGGCTTGCCTGCACCCGTGCACGCGCATCATGGTGGGCGCGCTCAAGTTCTTTATGGGGGCGGACCGGCAGGGCGAGGGGGAGGACGGGAGCAGTGAGGAGGAGGACGAGGAGGAGAAAAAGAACCGCAGCAAGGAGAACTCTGCTCTCGCTCTCGACAGGAAAACGGTCTACACGGTGAGTGTGTGTGCCGGTGTCTTGGCTTGCTTGGTGGTCACTTTGTATGTATGCAGCACTCACCAGTTGTATGTCACCAAGTGTCCACCTGTATGTGGTCATTTTGTATGTAGGATACAGGTTGCAGGCGGAAGGCAACACGTGCTCCGGTTGCAGGCGGACTCAGGGAGTATCCCAAAGCACGTGTTGCCTTCCTTTCCTCCACCGCCACACCATTTCTTCCCTCGTTCCCCCTTCATCTCCCTTACTCCTATCAGGCGTACCACAAGGGAACACCCGCCAGCAAGCGCAAGGAGCAGGCGAATTTGAAGCGAGTGATGAAGGGGCTGCGGAAGCAGCAGCAGGGTGACCCCTGGGAAACATGAGTCAGGGTGACCCCTGGGATACAGCAGCGGGGACCATTAGTCAGTCTATCTCTTCCTGGTTCGACCATGTCAGTGCCTCAACACTCCCTCGCTCCTCCCTCCTCCCCCACTGCCTCCTCCCCCCGTCTCCCTTCCCCCCAGGCATACCACAAGGGCACGCCAGCCAGCAAGCGCAAGAAGCAGGCGAAGCTGAAGCGAGTGATGAAGGGTCTGCGGAAGCAGCATTGAGGACTGTTGATCAGTCGCCCCCTGCCCTTCTGCCCGTATATTCCCTTTCCTCCACCCCATTGGCTTGGCCGCTGCCTCTGCCTGCCTGTGTTCCCCCCCTCCTCCTCTCCCCCAGGCATACCACAAGGGCACGCCAGCCAGCAAGCGCAAGAAGCAGGCAAAGCTGAAGCGAGTGATGAAGGGTCTGCGGAAGCAGCAGCGCGCCGTGATGGGCGGAGGGGGGGAAGGCACGGGGGAGGGCGAAGGGAACATGCACTTCGCTGCGCTGCACTTGCTGCACGACCCTCAGGTGGGTGGGTGGTGATTTGATTCGATTCATACTGGGTATTCATATCAGGACGGCGGGAGGGAGGGGAGGGAAGGGCAAGGGCGTGAGGGAGAACAATGGGAACATGCACTTTGCTGCACTGCACATGATGCATGTCAACCTTCTTTTTTTCCCTTTATTCACCCCACTCCCCCTTCCACTCTCCACTCCTCCCACCCTCTCCTCCCCATTTGCTGCAGGGCTTTGCAGAGTAGCGCTCCAGCCGCTTCTCCAAATGCCACAAGAAGCCTGTAGTGTCAAGCTCGTACCTCCCCTACTCCTTCCCACACCTCTCTCCTTCCCCCTTCCCTCCCTCCCTCTCCCCCCTTTCCTCCCGCTCCTCCACAGGGCTTTGCAGAGAAGCTCTTCAGCCGCGTGTCCACGTGCAACGAGAAGTTTGAGGTGCGTGTCCACGTGCAACGAGAAGTTTGAGGTGCGTGTCCACGTGCAACGAGAAGTTTGAGGTGCGTGTCCACGTGCAACGAGAAGTTTGAGGTGCGTGGGCGGAATCGATTATCTCTGAGAGCGCATGCAGGTGAATGAGAGACTTTTGAGTCGACTAGGTGACTTTTGAGTCGACTAGGTGACTTTTGAGTCGACTAGGTGACTTTTGAGTCGACTAGGTGACTTTTGAGTCGACTAGGTGACTTTTGAGTCGACTAGGTGACTTTTGAGTCGACTAGGTGACTTTTGAGTCGACTAGGTGACTTTTGAGTCGACTAGGTGACTTTTGAGTCGACTAGGTGACTTTTGAGTCGACTAGGTGACTTTTGAGTCGACTAGGTGACTTTTGAGTCGACTAGGTGACTTTTGAGTCGACTAGGTGACTTTTGAGTCGACTAGGTGACTTTTGAGTCGACTAGGTGACTTTTGAGTCGACTAGGTGACTTTTGAGTCGACTAGGTGACTTTTGAGTCGACTAGGTGACTTTTGAGTCGACTAGGTGACTTTTGAGTCGACTAGGTGACTTTTGAGTCGACTAGGTGACTTTTGAGTCGACTAGGTGACTTTTGAGTCGACTCAAAAGTCACCTTGTTTGAGGTGCGTGGGTGGAAATTGATCATCTCTGAGATGAGAGTGCATGCAAGTGAATGAAAGTGCATAGACCACCTCGCAACAGTTGAGTTGCGTGGGTGGGATAGGCGATTGCATGGGAGCGACGAGCGTCAGAGGGGGGTGGTGAGGTGTGAGACAAGTGGAACGGGGTGAATGAAGGGCTTTTTTTTTATTCTTTTTCATCATAACTCATTTTAGCTTATCAGTGCCACCACTTTTCACACCACCCGCCTCCCTGCAGGTGAAGCTGCTGATGCTGAACGTGGTATCGCGGGTCATGGGCACACACCGATTGCTCCTACTCAACTTCTACCCCTTCCTGCAACGCTACCTCATGGTACATATCACTTGTACCTTTTTTTTCTCTTATTTTCATTTATTAATTTATTCGTTCATTCATTCATTTATCTTAGGTGCCTTGGTCTGTCCCTTTCAAGGTTGCATCCCACCCGTCGATTTCTGCCCTTTCATCCCATCCTATGATTGCAGCCGCACCAGAGGGATGTGACGCACCTCCTTGCCATCGCCGTGCAAGCCTGTCACGATCTGGTGAGTGTGTCACAACCTGGTGAGTGTGTCACAACCTGCTGAGTGTGTCACAATCTGGTGGGTGGGTGTTGCAGTTGGGCTGAACTCGGTAGGGGAGGTGTGTTGGACCTGGTCACTTCATTTGCATACTTCAAACAAAATAAAATAAATAATAATAATAAAAAAAAATCTCTTCTTCTGAAAATCCTCAAAACACATATTCAGCTTTTGTGGTTGGGCGGAACACCGTAGGGGATGTGTGTGCGGGCATGCCTCTGGTGATGGGCGAGGAGGTGTTCTCCTCAATCCCATACCAAACTCCCCCCTCCTTACTCTTTCTCTCCCTTCTCCGCCTCTCCGCCCCTCTCCCCTCCCCCAGGTCCCCCCCAGACGCAGGGGAGAGCATGGTGAAGCAGGTCGTGAACCTCTTTGTTCACGACCGAGCAAGGCCAGAGGTCATAGCAGTGGGGCTGAACGCAGTGAGGGAGGTGTGTGCGCGCATGCCCCTGGTGATGGGCGAGGAGCACGTGTAGCTGGTCTCCTCAATCCCATGCTTCCTCCACTCCCCCAGGTGCCTCCACTCGTGCATGACAGGGCCCGTCCCGAGGTCATAGCAGTGGGGCTCAATGCAGTGAGGGAGGTGTGTGCGCGCATGCCAGTCTCCCTCTCGCCTTTCCGTCCCCCGCCTCCCCCCTCCCCAGGTCCCCCCAGACGCAGTAGAGAGCATGGTGAAGCAGGTCGTGAACCTCTTCGTTCACGACAGGGCCCGTCCCGAGGTCATAGCAGTGGGGCTGAACGCCGTGAGGGGTGTGCGCGCTTCACTCTTCGTAATCCCATAGACACCCTTCTTTCTCCGTTCTCCTCCCCTCCCTTCTTCCTTTCCCCAGGTCCCCCCAGACGCAGTGGAGAGCATGGTGAAGCAGGTCGTGAACCTCTTCGTTCACGACCGAGCAAGGCCAGAGGTCATAGCAGTGGGGCTGAACGCAGTGAGGGAGGTGTGTGCGCGCATGCCCCTGGTGATGGGCGAGGAGCTGCTGCAGGACCTGGCCATGTACAAGAAAGCCCGCGAGAAGGCCGTTGCAGCTGCTGCTAGATCGATCATTTCCCTGTTCCGAGAGGTATGTTGGGGGTGAAGAGCGGTACAGAGAGGTGCAGAATGGTACGGGAGGTGTGTGCGTGCATGCTCCTCCCTGGTGATGGGCGAGGAGTTGCTGCAGGACCTGGCCATGTACAAGAAAGCCCGCGAGAAGGCCGTTGCAGCTGCTGCTAGATCGATCATTTCCCTGTTCCGAGAGGTATGTTGGGGGTGAAGAGCGGTACAGAGAGGTGCAGAATGGTACGGGAGGTGTGTGCGTGCATGCTCCTCCCTGGTGATGGGCGAGGAGTTGCTGCAGGACCTGGCCATGTACAAGAAAGCACGAGAAAAGGTAGTTGCTGCTGCAAGATTGATTATCTTACTCTTCAGAGAGGTATGGAGTGGTGCACAGACGTACAGAGAGCTACAGCAGAGAGTTACAGAGAGGTACAAAGCGGTACAGATCCATTATCTCCCCCTGTCCCCATCCCCCATCACTTCCCCCCTTCCTCCCCCCGTCTCCCCCACAGGTGAATCCGTCGCTGCTGCAGCGGAAAGACCGGGGCAAGCCGGGGAAGGCAGGGGAAGCTGTGCAACCAGTGGCGTTTGGCCACGTGGCAGTGTCTGATCATGTGCCTGGGATTGAACTGCTGGGTATTCCGGAAGAGGAGGGTGATGGGGAGGAGGGGAGTGAGGAGGGAAGTGATGAGGGGAGTGAAGGGGAGAGTGAGGAGGAGGGAGGTGAGGAGAGTGAGGAGGAAGTGGAGGGGAGTGACGAGGAGATGGAAGAGGGAGAGGAGGGAGAGGAGGGGGAGGAGGTGGAAGGGGATAGTGATGAGGAGGGGAGTTCAGGGAGTGAGGAGGTGGAGAGTGAGGGAGAGGAGGAAGAGGAGGAAGAGGGGGAGGAAGAGGAGGAGGAGATGGAGCAAGTCAGGCCAGGAATTTCCAGAAAAAGAAAGGCAGAGGGGGAAGCAAGTGGAGATGGAAAGCGGAAGCGAGAAGGACCGGTGAAAGTGGAGGGTGCGAGTCTGAGGCAGCTGAAACGACTGGCAGCACAAGGGGAAGAGAAAGCCGGAGAGGAAGCAGGTGGAGGGAAAGCAGGGCAGAAGGGGGAACTGGAGGAGGAGGAGGAGAAGGATGGGTTTCTGTCAACAGAGGATTTCAGGAAGATCAGGAGGATGCAGGCGAAGCAGGCTGCTGAGTCCATGTTGAGGCGCAAGGGCATGAAGAAGGCGGCTAATGCGCTCGCTCACTCCCATCAAGCACGCTCGCACTCTCTCAGTGACCGCCGCGTGGACGCGTCTGACCTGGAGGTGAGTCGTGCTGAAGAGAAAGAGGAAAGCAGAGGTGATGATGCACTCGCCCACATGCACTCGCCCACATGCACTCGCCCACCTGCACTCGCCCACATGCACTCGCCCACGTGCACTCGCCCACATGCACTCGCCCACGTGCACTCGCCCACATGCACTCGCCCACGTGCACTCGCCCACGTGCACTCGCCCACATGCACTCGCCCACATGCACTCGCCCACGTGCACTCGCCCACGTGCACTCGCCCACGTGCACTCGCCCACGTGCACTCGCATCAAGCACGCTCGCACTCCCTCAGAGTGAGTCGTGCTGCTTACAAAGTCTCAAAAAGTCATAGTCATGCTGACGTGGATAGGACTTATACTGTCTGTGGCATCAACATGTGGTCGCACATTTTCCAACACAGAACTTTTCTTTCTCTCTTTCCCTTTTGAGCCTTTACCAGCAATTCTTCCTCGGTTCTGTCTCCAAATGTGTAACGTGTCTCTGTATACGCAATTGTGTGAGTGCATCTCTGTCTTGGTCGCTGCATCTCCCCTCTCTTCTTTGTCCCCTCACCCAACCCCGCCCAAGGTACACATAAAGACACAGATGGGCAAGGAGGAGCGAATGGCAGCATTGATGGCGGGCAGAGAGCACCGCAGCTTCCCACTCACCCCTTCATTCCCCCTCACCCATTCTCCACGAATTCGCTCTCCTCCACTCCCCCCTCCCTGCCCTCCCCCCCCCCACAGGTGCACATAAAGGCACGGAGGGACAAGGAGGAGCGCATGGCAGCAGTGCTGGCAGGCAGAGAGGACCGCAGCTTCTTTGCCAAGTCGAAGATGAAGCAGCAGAAGGTACGCAGAAGCTTATTAAACTGTAGGCAAGAACTTTTTTGCCAAGTCGAAGCTTGAGCAGCAGAGGGTAAGGCTGCTCCCATCACAGCACCGAACACTCCGCGATGCACGGTGCCTTGATGCATCAAGGCATCCACAGTCCAGTGCATCATGCGACGCGTTCTGAAGACGTGACTTGGCGAATTTTCAAAATCAACTCTTTGCGATGCACGTTGCCTTGTGAATGCCTCAAGACATCCACTGCATCCTGCAACGCATTGTGAATGCCTCGATCAGTCTTTTTTAAAATTTAATGCGCCTCATGAGCACTTCGCGGTGCGCGTCACCATCAAGACACCCATCCCTTCCTCTCACCCCCTCCTTCCGCTCCTTCCATCCCTTCCTCTCACCTCTCCTCTCACCCCTCGCCCTCTTCTCACAGGTGGGTGGAACATCCAACAGAGAGAAGGAGAAGCGCAAGGCAGCGCCAATGGCAGCACAGCGGGTGCATCCCCTCCTCTTGGGTCCTCCCTAACCCCTCTCCCTTCACTTCACCCTCTGTTCATACCCCCTCCTCTCATCCCCTCCTTGTTGTAATCGGTGCGTGCCTGCAGGTGGGTGGAACGTCCAACAGAGAGAAGGAGAAGCGCAAGGCAGCGCCCATGGCAGCACAGCGAATGAAGCTGAAGAGGCGCACGCAGGGCAAGCGGCGCAGTAAGGGGAAGAATTTCCAGGGGAAGAAGGCCTGGAAGACATGAACTCTGGGTCTCTCAATTCTGATATAAGCTATTGTTAGTTCTATTTGTTATGTTGGTATTTGTTCACGCATGCTCAAAATTGTATATTCGGCTTTCATTTCGACCAATTCCCGCAAAACTTCCCCTCAGCTGTATAATTGCCCTCGCATTCCTCAGGGATGAACAAACCTGATCTCGAGGAATGGCGCTGTTCAGTTCCCAGCGCAGGATTCACACTTGCAAGGCCTAGCCATGGCGTCCGTCAAGCGCACTGTCGCCGTCGCATTGGCTTTCGTCCTCGCGCTCGTCGCTGCGTACACCGCTGTTCACAGCGTCGCCCTCCTCGCACCCACGCGCGCGCGCAACTCTCGTCCCCTTTCTTCCCAGGACTCGCTGACTTCCGAGTCGACCCAAAAGAACTCTCCTCGCTCCCTCGCACCCACGCGCCCACGCGACTCTCGTTCTCTCTCCTCCAAGAATTCGTATATAAGGCTGTTCGCATTCACCGCACCCGTCAGAAACCCACAGTCAAGCGTGAATGACGCCGCAATCCCCGCTGTGGTCCCCAGGCCCGCGCCGCCGAAGCTGCAGCAGCAGCCCGCGATTCACGCTCCCGCCGACAGCGCTCCGCTCGAGCGCGTGTGCGGCTCGCCAGCCGTCGACGGCTACGCGCACGTGAACGCCACGTGTCTAGAAGCGTCGCCCACGAATCGCATGTGGTGGTCCATGCATCCTCAGGTGAGTCCTCTCTCTGCTTCAGGTGAATCTCCAGGCAATCTTATGAACCTCCTGAGGAGTTGTTCCTGAAACGCAAAACAGCACGTCTGTCGCTCCTTGCCATGTGACTGTGATTGTACGCAGTGATAGAATGAGCCAATCAACTGTCATGTCGGAGTGTGAATGTGCGCGCGACTTACAGCATGTGACTGACGGCATGTGACTGACGGCATGTGACTGACGGAATGCGACTGACAGAATGTGACTGACGGCATGTGACTGACGGCATGTGACAGACGGCATGTGCCTGACGGAATGTGACTGACGGCATGTGACTGACGGAATGTGACTGACGGCATGTGACTGACGGCATGTGACTGACGGCATGTGCCTGACTGAATGTGACTGACGGCATGTGACTGACGGCATGTGACTGACGGCATGTGACTGACGGCATGTGACTGACGGAATGTGACTGACGGCATGTGACTGACGGCATGTGACTGACGGAATGTGCCTGTGCTTGTGTCGTTTGACATGGTTGTGTGTGTGGGCAGGGAGGGAGGAGCGGAGAGGGGTTGGATTGCCACATGGAGCGGGAAGTGAGCTTAGATGGGCTGGCCGTGCGGTGGGGCATCGGGCACAAGACCACCACTCCAGAGCAATGCTGCCAGGCCTGCAGGTAAATCATACATGGACTGGACTCACATGCCTCCGAGGTGCCGTAATACTTTACTAAGTCACCGTAGATGGGCTCGCCGTGTGGTGAGGCATCGGCCACAAGACTCACACTCCGGAGCAGTGCTGCCAGGCCTGCAGGATAAGGATGGCCCCTTATCCCGCTTGCCCTGAATCATCTGAGTCTACTGTCCTCCCATTATTCCACTTCCACTACTGATACCCTCTCCTCTCCGACCACCCTTTCTTCCTTGAGACCACGAACAGGACCTACACCACACCCGGGCGGGCCCTTCCCCCCCTCCTTACAACAGCTGGTTCTTTTGCCTTCTTCTTATTCCACCACCCCTCGCCTGTTCTCTTCCCACCCCTTCCCCCCAGGGACCACAGACCGGACCCACAAGTTGCAGATCCCTTTGCGCACCTCCCCTGCAACGTCTGGGTATTCTGCTGCGCTCCGACCTGCTTTGAACCCGACGCGCACACGCACACCTTCGGTGACTGCTGGCTCAAATTCTCTGAAGCCCCGCAGAGCCCCGAGGTGAACGCGCGGGGGGAGTACCCTCGGGAACTCCGTGCGAGGCATGCCGAGGCGCCTGAGCGGTGCCAGTGGGTGGCTGGGGTGCTGCTGCCGCCCGGACAGACTCTCACCAACGGCACGTGGAGCCCGAGGCATGAGTGGTAGCGAGGGCCTACCAATGCATGCACAAAGACAGCGCCTTTTATTATGCAAAGAGAATCGACGGTTCAGAGAGGAGTGTGCGTTTACACAGCGGTACGTGCATGCAGATTTATGCCTAGCAAGCCCTTTTTTTTGTGCTTTTTACTACTTTTAATAATCATGCTGCTGCCTACTGTGCATGTGCAGGCTTCCTGGTTCCTCCTCCTATGAATCCAGGCAGGCAAAGTACGGTAGGAGTTGTCGCCAGAAGGCATTCAGCGAACCTCCTGCCAGCTCTTGCATCAATTCATTTCCCATCCATGCCCTGTTTGTTGTTGGGTTTGATTGACCAGACACCCGCTCAAAATGTTGCAGCTTCAATCTCGTCTAGAAATGCTATCATTCTTACACGCTCAAATAGCGTTCAATGCACTGTAGTATCAGTTGCTGCAATTGCCGCCATCTCCTGTCAGCTCTTTTGAAAGATCGCCCTTGGATGTCAACTGACAGATGTAAACAGCGAGGCGAACCCTGTAATCAAGGCCTTTTGTACGGACTTATTTGACACGGTCTGAATGAGTAGGCTTCAGGAATCAGGAGCCGCTGATCAGCGTCGTGTACGGTTAGATAAATCCGAACAAGCGACTACTCTTTTGTAAATCCACTAACCATTGTCGCTGTTGATTAGTCAGTCATGGCGGCGTTGCTGCACGCGATCTGGGTGAGGTATCTCGACTCGCTCAAGCATCGCCCGGTCCTCACCAAGGTGCAACGCCCGTGATCCCACCATTCTGATCATCACTCGCATCATTCTCACTGTCCGGATTCACGCATCACTCCCACCCGTTCCCCCAGTACACTTCTGATTCATCTGTAAGCCATTTCTCTTATTCCTCGCCCGCAGTTCGTATAGTCTCGACTCCGTAGCCTTTACTTTCGCCACACCGTTCCCGCTGTTCAGGCACTTACGTCGGCGTCGCTAGCGGCCGTGAGCGACCTGATGGCGCAACGACTGGCGTCCCGCAAGCCCGTGGAGCTCAGGCGAACGATTCTCATGTGGGTGCGTGTAGGAGGGTGCATGCAGAGGAGATCACTCGTTGACAGAAAGGGTCAAAACGGACATGCCATGCCAAAGATGGTGTTGAGTCCCACCTTGCTTCATCTTTTTAGTCCACTCGCGATGCGGACATAAAATGCAAATTATGGCTGCGATCATTCCTTGCTCCTTCGTTTCCTTAGTTCATCTGACCTTTCTCCCATTTTAATCCCTTCACAATCCTTTCAGATTATGGTCGTCTTTCATTATCACTCCACCCCTCAATCCACCCCTCACTCCATCCCTCACTGCACCTCTCATCTCAGCTGTTCGGGCTGCTCTACATGGGCCCATCGGCGCACATGGTGCATCGTGCGCTAGACGCCATCTTTGCTGCAAAGAGAGACACCAAAACCGCGTTGAAGAAGGTAAGCAGAACGAATTAAGAGATAGACGTGGGAATGGATTGGCGAACGAGAAGAGGAGGTGAGGGGCGGAACGAGAGGACTTCTCTCAGAGTGTTGAGAGTGTGCATGCATTGCCCTGGCCATGCAATCCTCCATTGCATTGTAATCCAAAAGGCTCAGAATGTCCAGTTTCGGCTGGGCGTCTTTGTTTTCCTTGTTCTCAGGTGGTGGTAGAGCAATTGTCATATGGCCCGTGCTGCAATGTGGTGGCCATTATGTGGATTGCCTACGTGGTGGAGCGACGCTCATGGATGGCATCCAAGAGACGGCTCTTTGCTGCATACCCAGGGATCCAGATCAATGGATGGAAGGTGAAGTGAAACTACTTGAATGAATCACTCCCAATTTTTCATCTCATTGAGTCTCAAATTTGTGGTCTCACCTGACTCATTATTTTGTCGTTTGCTTCAGGTGTGGCCACTTGTAGCTCTGATTAACTACAAGTTTATTCCATTCAACCTCCGTGTGCTCTTCTCCAATGTTATTGCCATCTTCTGGTGAGTCTTCGAAGTCGCATGTGATTGTCTCGTTTGCACAATTTGCATCTTTCTGAGCTGCTGGAGTATTTCATTGCGGCATCTTATCCCACATTCCAGGTCTACATTTCTCATTCTAAAAGCACGAGGAATCAAGGACAAGCAAAGCCTGGATTAATGCGTGGATGCACCCTTTGCATCAGTGTAAATACTTTAGGCTGTACAGGCTCTTGATTTTACTTAGCAAACACTGATTTTCCACACTGGTCAGGCCATGAACTACATGGCCACCAACGGCACTAGGAGTTCGTCATAAAATATGTAAAGATTGGCTATTTTGACGAGGTCGAGTATGATTGAATTTCCAATATCGAGGTTTTTCGTGAGCAGCACACACGGGCCGACAGGGAATGCGACTGTCTCGTCGCCAGGCAAGGGTGTCGGTCGGCCTCTGGCGGAAACACGCGCCGCTAGAAACTGCGTTGTGTCAGGAGGGGCAAACGAGCGGCGTTTGGCCAATCACATCAAATGACACCTCGTTCGCTGCCAGTCAGCCGGTGGGAGCGAATTTGTGGAGGCAAACAAACCGCGTGCGACTGCTTCGCATTTTGTTCTGGGGAGCTTCGCTTCGCCTTCGTACGTACAGCTCACCACTCGCCGAGGCTGACAGATGGGTATGGAGAAGGTGGATGGACGCACCAGATTCAGGAGAGGAGGTAGCGCGCTAAACGACAGGACCCGAACCTAGAACAAGCTAAGCAGAAATCATCGGTTCGAGCAGAGGGCGTCAGAGTCTGCTCTGCAGCAGCAAAACCTGCACCAAAATCCTTCCCTCCACAGTCCTGAAACAAGAACGGTCCCTCCATACCTCCTCAGTTGTCCCTCCACACCTCATTTCCCAGTGCAAGCAATCCCTTCCATTCTCCCTCCCGCACCATTCCCTTCCCTCCCTCCTGCAGCTGTGAGCGGCCCTTCGGGGCTGTGAGTCTTCTTGACCCTTTTTCGCACTTCGAACTGTTTTTCACCATCCTTCTGGCATGCTTCTTGAGTTTCTCCGTCCAATAATCCCGCGCTTGACTTGACTGCTTCGCGCTCCGCCACTGCGCGTGGTTCCAGTTCCATCATCAGATTGCACCACCGCTATATCCGAGCTGCATTCCAAAAAGTCTGTTGCTTAGTGAAATTACATGCCATACTTGCTCTAAGGCCCTCTGACTGGGTCCATCTCGAGCATAATAATAATTCGCCCTTCTTTTAATCCTTTTAACTGTCGCCACTCGTTCTGAGCCCCGCCCGTCATGCACCGTAAACCGGTACTCCTCTCGCCCGCGAAGGAATGGCGCGACCCAATATTCGCCGCGCCTTCACCATCTCGTAAGGACGCCGGACCGCTCACCACCCCTCGACACCGAGAGCCGCCGCTTTCCCCATTTCGCTCGCCATTGATGGGCTCCGCCAACCCCGCCATCCCCGCGGGGTCTCCGCTCGGGTCGCGCTCCCGCCGCGCCTTGGCCTCTCCGGTGCGGGACGTGCGGCTGGCGGACCGCGGGGAGCACGGCGGCGGCGGAGGAAACAGCAAGCGGCTGGCGCAGCTCTGCATTCTCCGCACAGCGCAAGCGCAACTCAACTCCGCGCATCCCCTGCGCCCCCCGTCTTCCGCGCAGCCGTCCCCCATTTTCTCCGCCGAGTCCCCCAGCTCTCTGCTGTGTCAGGCGGGAAGCGCACTATCGTCTTCTGCGCAGGCGCGGGCGTCGTTTGAGTCGGTCCAGGCGCCGTGCAGCGCGCCGAGCGGCCCCATGTCCGCGCAAGAGGGCGCAGCGGACATGTTCGACCCGTTTCTCCTCCCCGCGCCCGCCTTTCCGCTCCACGACCAGCCCTCCTCCCCTCCGCCCCTGCCGGTGGCGCAACCCGCGCAAGCACCGTCGGCGGAAGACACGGACGCAACTTCCGCGGACCGCGGAGACAGGTGTGGGACGGCGGAGCCTCTCCAGCATGGTGATATCGATGCCCCGGCAGCTGCTATGGCGGCGGAAACCACGGAGAAGAATGGGACAATGGCGAGGGATGAACGGAATGGGGAGAATTCGGAAAAGCAGGATGGAAACGGAGTCGGGCGGATTCGGATGGTGGGCGAAAATGGCGCGCAGATGGGCGTAATGCGGGCTGGGAAGGCGGCTCAGGCGGAGCCTTTCGGAACGCGCGCTGGCGCCGAGTGCGCAGATCGTGAGAACGTGGGGCGCATTGACAGCCGGGGGACCTTGGGGGGGAAGCGGGGCGACAATCCTGGCGCATGTAGCCGCGACGCGCAGAACCCGTCAGTACGAAGCACGCTCATGGAACTGGCAGCCAATAAGAAGCTGCCACATGGGCCGCGCAAGGGCGACCCGATGTACGAGTGCAAGCGCTGCCCGTTGGCCTCCCCCGCCCGCTCCCCCCTGTCCCACTCCGCCGCGCTGACTCCCCCCGTGCACCTCCCCTCCCGCCTGCACATCCCTGCTGCGCTCACCGGTTTGACCCGCGGGGGGAATGGGGGGGTGGGCATGGGGAGGCTGGGGCTGGCGGCGCCTGGTAGCTGTGGTAGCAGCCCCCGAGGAGACTGTTCCTCCCTGTGTGGTCGGCAGCTTCAGCAGCAGTACGGACAGCAGCAGCAGAACCAGCAGCAGCAGCATCATCAACTGTTGGTGCAGCAAGTAAAGCTGCTACAGCAGCACCAGCAGCAGCACCTGAGTGAGTCGCACTGCAGAGAAGATACTCATTGCTCTGGTGTGAGTCATCGTTCGCTGCATCCCAGTCATGCCAGCTCAGCGGCCACGTGTCCCAGTGGTTCAGTTGCTCCACTTGAAGCACAACTGGTGTCAGCCTCGGCTCGCTGGCTCGGTCGGAGAAGCAATGGAAGTACACCTGCCGCGCCTGCTGGGATGGTTGGAATGGGAGGAATGGGAGGATTGGTTCCTGCTTCATCGAGAGAAGGAAGCCGTGCGGCCTCTCCTAACCGCTCTGCAAGGCGTGCCATTTTGTTCGGAGGAAATTGAAGCAGTTGGCTCT